GGGGGGGGGGGGGGCCAAAAATCGTATACTAGGACAGACCCACATTTTTTATTATTTTTTATTTTTTATTCTTCATCTTTTAGCCAAACCCAACTAATCGTACAATCTAGGGTAGATAATCTAGGGTAAATCCACCCGTGCGGGTGGATTTACATATCGTGCTATTAAGACATCGCGGCATTAACGTTAATAGCACGATTTACACCTCGGTATATTCCTAGTATACGATTTTTGGACCTCCCCCGTGCCCCCCCCCCTCCTATCAATTTTGTACATGGGTCTGACAAGAATTGTCTTAACTTAACCTAACCCGTGGCCGCAGCGCTCGGCCCCCTAGCCCATCTGGGACGGACGGAATTTTAATATAACTACCATTTATCTTAATATTGTCAAGGATCAATATAATACGTTAAATGGATGTCTCATCCAACAAATATCATCTCTTATTCCGTGTTTATAGCAATTAATAACTTGGCAAGTCATAAGATTATAAATTTGTGGAATTAAAGTTTCACTTTATATAAATGGACACAAAGAATTTCACGACTCTCACGAAACAATTTTATACTTTCACGAAATAAGAATCACAGGTACCGGCGGATTTTTGCAGCAATGAGCGATAAATGGCGGGAGCTGCGAGCACGATGTAGTTTATTAATAGACAAAAAACCTGTTTGTAGTTTCCGCTTAAGGTTTGGACGAGAGTCGTCTTCGTTTGAGTTTTTTTTTCGCGGTGCTACGTGAATAGAAGAGGGAGGGAAGAAAGAGTAAAAAAAGGTTTATAGAAGAGGGAAGGAAGAAAGAGTAAGAAAAGGTTTATAGCAGAGAGAGGGAAGAAAGAGTAAGAAAAGGTTTATAGAAGATGGAGGGAAGAAAGAGTAAGAAATTGTTTATAGAAGAGAGAGGGAAGAAAGAGCAAGAAAAGGTTTATAGAAGAGAGAGGGAAGAAAGAGTAAGAAAAGGTTTATAGAAGAGGGAGGGAAGAAAGAGTAAGAAATTGTTTATAGAAAAGGTAGGGAAGAAAGAGTAAGAAATGGTTTATAGAAGAGAGAGGGAAGAAAACGTAAGAAAAGGTTTATAGAAAAGGGAGGGATTTTCAAGATTCAACCTTTTACAATTTAAGCTTTAAATGAGCCCTGTGTAAACCTTTAAAAGTCAAACTAAACTAAAGAATGTCACTAGTTGATTATTAAGACATCTGCGAAATGTGAAGAGTTTTTTAAAAGTAATCCTAGTGCCATTATAATTTAAAGGTAGGGGGGGGGGGGGGCTAACAGATTGTATTTCTGTTTATACGTAGCTTTTTGCAATTTTATCATTTATGCAGGCTGTTCTGCAATGGGAATTAATTTGAATGCTAATTATTTATAGCTGTATACTAAAACAAATGTTTTATTTTTCTTGAAAGTATTATTGAAATTTTAACTTTTTTATCCATGCTTTTGTCAAAATGAAACTTGTTATATACAGGGATAACCATATGGTGTATTTTTTGGACAAGTTTAAAATTCAAAGATAAGTTTGTTGCCCAATAACGGTGCGAAGCAAGCTATTACCAAAATTAATTTTATTCTCAAATATGCATTCTTTTAACCACTTTTAACACACTCATAAGACTCATGTATATTCAACTAGCTTTGGGAGTGGGGAGGGGACCCACCATTTCCTGGAAACATAAAAAAGTAGGATTTTAAAATAATGTTAAGAACAGGTTCTACAGAGTTCCCCAGCAGAAATGTAAATATTCAAGGAGTGCTTGAGTTAAGGCTGCTTCGTTGAAGCCAAATCGCAAGATTAATAAATCCTGCCAGGTGGATTTAAGGCTAGATTATCTACCCTAGTGTTTCATTAGAGGTGTAAATCGTGCTATTAACGTTAACGCCGCGATGTCTTAATAGCAGGATAAATAAATCCACCCGCACGGGTGGATTTACCCTAGATTATCTACCCTAGATCGTACGATTAGTTGGGTTTGGCTCAAATTATGAGAGAGAGAGAGAGAGATAGATAGATAAATAGTTAGATAGATGAAAACATAAATAGAAAAAAATAAGATGAAGAATAAAAAATAAAAAAAAATAATAAAAAATGATAAAATCGAAAAAAGGTTCATTTTTTGTAAAAATGAAATTTCATTATAAAAAATTCAAAAATAAAAAATAAAAAAAAAATATTTTTACGAAAATATTGATATTTTATTTCTAAAAAGTGTTTTTTAGAAAATATTATTTTTAAATTTTAAAAAATATTTTTCGGCAGATTTTTGGAAAAAACATGATTTTTTAAATTTTGCAAAAAAATATTTGAGGTTAACAAAGATCGTCTTTGATTTGCCAAACTAATTTGTGGAAACCAATGCGCATGTGCATAAACAACNTTTGGTCTAAGTAACATTTGGTCTAAGTAACTTTTAGTAAGTAAATTGGTCTAAAACTACAGAATTGGTTTAACTAACTTTAAGAAAGGAGTAAGTAACATTTTGTCCAAGTAACTTTTGGTATAAGTAATTTTTAGTAAGGAATTTGGTCTGAAGTACTTATCTACAAAAGTTCTACAAAAGTAATGGTTGAGTATCATAATTAATCCCGCCATTGAGTTCCTCTCAGTTCAACGTGTTTTAGAAGAGTGGAGAATTTCTCTTATACGAATTGAGGATTTCTTGATTTTGTTTCACGGGTTTCTTTTTTTGCAGTGTATATATAAAATCACTTGACATTTTTTTCAGACCAAATTACTTAGACCAAATGTTACTTAGACCAAAAGTTACTTAGACCAAATTTTACTTAGACGAAATGTTACTTAGACCAAATGTTACTAGACAAAAAAGAACTAGACGAAAATGAACTAGACAAAAGTGAACTTAGACGAAAGTGTACTAGACGAAATGTTACTGAGCCACATTAGAGTGACTCAAATTTCAAATTTTCGCTTTTCAGGTTTAAGCATCAATACGTTTAAATGCTGATAGTTTTCCAATTCGTATTGCTATTAAAATATAAAGATTTTAAAATAATTTCAGATGAAAAATAATGAATATGTTTGTTCTCTTACTTCTTGTATTCTTGAAAACATCTTCTTGTTTACAGGTTAGTTTGATCTGAACAAGCTAAACAATAAAATTTACAGAAATAAATATTATTCTTTCTTATATATTTTCTAATTTCAACTCCCTTGTTGTCTAGTTCATAAATTGTCTAAACTTCATGTTATTTAGTTTACAAACTATCTTAACTTGTTGTCTAGTTTACATATAGTCTAAACCCCTTGTTGTCTAGTTTACATAATGGCTGAATCCCTTGTTTTCTAGTTTACAAATTGGCTGAATCCCTTGTTGTCTAGTTGCAAATTGTCTGTCTTAACGGCCCTTGTTGTCTAGATGCATATTGTCTGTCTTAAGTCCATTGTTTTTTTTTACGTCATGTACTGGACTGTCATGATGGTAATGCCAAATCACAATGATATTAAAGAGGAGTAAATGGCACCCCTCCTCCCCCCCCCCCTCCTTCTCGACATGATTTACAATTTAAAATATTTTGGCTTTAAAAATTCTACACGACAATTAATATTAAAATTGGTTGTTATTTCTACTTGTTTAAACATTGCACAGATATGAATAAATATGTGTTGTTGGTTAAGTCCTATATAAATAAAGCAGATATCTTAGCATTAAACCCTTACCAATTGCACTTATCCTCTCCATTGAAACCCACTACGCTTGAAAGTACGCTTACAGTCCCTTTATAAAGTATATTTTATCCATGATGTAATCATATAAAAATCGTATTTAAACCTGTTGGAATAAAGTGCAATTGAATGGCCTTTCTACACGTTCCAATGGAAAATACCAGTTTAATACTACGTTTCTCCGAATAATATGCAAAATTATAAACGACTTAATGCATCAAATAAAATTAGCATAACAAATTATAACTTATAACTTTTAAAATAATTGAAGCCCGTACTGTACACTCCGGTCCATTTCAACTACTGCAACTGGGCCGAACTTTAAGCAGTTATAGCAAGTTATACATTATGCATACAAACAATGTAAGGCAACACGGGCCAGTAATTTAAATGAATGTTAACCCCTTCTTTTTTGTGAAATATAGGTGTAAGGGGGTAAAATCAAATCAAAGAAGGACTTTAAAAATGTTGAAAAAATAATTTTTGTTAATGCTAGTGATCATCGAAATTACCTTGTTCTTAAAGGTCAAGAAATTGAAATTGATATTTAAAAATGAATCTATGTATAAATCAACCCAACTTTAGGAGGTTGCACAAAATCCCCCCCCCCCCCCCCCTCTAAATTCGATAGCCTTTTTACTCGATTGCAAAAATTTAAAAACCTATTGTGTGTCAAAATTTTTAAAACATAGTTTTTGAGAGTATATATCTAATTTGAAATATCAAAGGTCTACAACGGTCGATTGAAAAGATAAAAGGATTAGAAAATTGAGTTTGTGGTGGAAAATCAGCTGGAAACAATAATGTAACTGTTTGCCAGGTTGATATGTGCCCTCTACGCGGAGAGTTTTCTGTCGAAACATTTCGAATCAGCGAAGAATTTTGGCGACCCGGTGTCGAGAAGTCACGTGACGTGCTCGACCAAATTCTGAGAAAAATTGCGGATTTTGAGAGCAATAAGAAAGTTCATAATTACTTTAAACCTCAGGAATCTACTTATTACAAAATTAGTACAGTCATAAATGGTAAGATTTCGTTTTAAATCTTTTTAAAAATATTATAGTTATAATAGCTATTTATAACACTGTTATTTTGGTTCGCAGTGTTATAAAGTTTTTGGATAGAAATTTTCTCTTTATCGAGAAGGTTCAAGTCTTTTTAGATTTATTTTTGTACTGAGCTATAGCGAGGTACAAAATATAACCTAAAAATGCGAGAACCTTCGAGATATTGAGATTTTAGTCCAAAAAAATTGAAGTACGTCGTGCCAAAATAATAATGTTAAAGGTAATTTTATGAAAAGTTTGTGTACTTATTTCAATAGTAATTTCTACAGATCAAATAAGCTTTGAAACAAAGCAGAAGTCAAAATATAAAGTTGATATCAATTTTATTTTCATTTCAACTGAAAAAAATATTTTGGAAATATCGTATTTTTTTTTGGAGAAAATCCGGGAACCAATCAAAACTTTATAGCACACGTGCTAAAATAAACAGCTATTTATAGCACGATGATTACTTTATAGCACGTTTATTATGAAATTCACGATGAAGTGAGGAAGAATGATAAAGTATAGTTTCATAAAATAACTATATTCACGGCAGTTTATTTTTTAATTTGTCATTCTAGGCTGCATCCAAATTATTTCCGTACAGCGCGGCGTACTGCTGGCTGCAAAGAACTATTCAAGTTTTTCCGCTTAAATGTCAGCAGATTTCCAAGTGCCATATTTTATAGTTATATAGTTGGAACCAAACCACTCTATAAATGAAGGGTTACTTGAATAATGTCTACAGTCCCTTTAAGAGAAGTTTTATATCACTTCTAAATTGCAAAAAATATGTTTTGATTCAGTGATAATTATAAAACTCTGGAAGAGAAAAACGACTTCAAGATATGACTTTAAATAGTCAATTGAACATGAGACACAGCAGTTATACAATGTAAACAGGAGACACAGCAGTTATACATTGTAAATAGGAGACACAGCAGTTATATATTGTAAACTGGAGACACAGCAGTTATACATTGTAAACAGGAGACACAGCAGTTATACACTGTAAACAAGAGACACAGCAGTTATATATTGTAAATAGGAGACACAGCAGTTATACATTGTAAACAGGAGACACAGCAGGTATACACTGTAAACAGGAGACACAGCAGTTATATATTGTAAATAGGAGAGACATCAGTTATATATTGTAAACTGGAGACACAGCAGTTATACAATGTAAACAGGAGACACAGCAGTTATATATTGTAAAAAGGAGACACAGCAGTTATATATTGTAAACTGGAGACACAGCAGTTATATATTGTAAACTGGAGACACAGCAGTTATACACTGTAAACAGGAGACAAAGCAGTTATATATTGTAAATAGGAGAGACATCAGTTATATATTGTAAACTGGAGACACAGCAGTTATACATTGGAAACAGGAGACACAGCAGTTATACATTGTAAACAGGAGACACAGCAGTTATATATTGTAAATAGGAGACACAGCAGTTATATATTGTAAACTGGAGACACAGCAGTTATTACATTGGAAACAGGAGACACAGCAGTTATACATTGTAAACAGGAGATACAGCAGTTAGCAGTTATACTTTTTAAACAGGAGACACAGCCCATTTCAGTTAATAACTGATTAGATAAGTTACTAGTAAAATTATTTGCTTTGTAACACCATCAAATACACTTAATTTTTGCTAAATGTGGTCTTCCTATTCCACAGTTTTCTGGTTTTCACTATAGTATCTACATATTTTGAATTTCCAGGAGTAATGGAGGAAAGAGTTTACAGTTTGGACAAGGCTCTACCAGGCTGTACTGACCCTAACCCTGACGAGCCTGGGTGCTTCACGCCACCCGAGGGTTGTCTCACAGAAGAGACGCAGCTACCTGCCTCTATATTAAAGAATCTTGAAGTAGATTATTCATGTTCCCAAGCTGAACAAATCTACGGGATCGCAGTTCAGAAAATGCACGAAAAAGACATCTGCAGGGTAGGAAGCTCTGTTAAAAGGCACACTTCTGTTATCCAACATTGATCCAGATTGCTATATAAAGTTGCATCAATTTTAACTGTGTCTTTAAAATATCGGAACGCTTTTGCCTTTGATTACACCGGACTAATTCAAATATGAAATTGTTGGATGATTTAATGTTTTAAAGATAAAAATTAGAACAACCCAGAGCTCAAAACTTAAGAATGAATATCCCTAATCCCGATTACTTAATCTATGTATCTAATGGACATACTTTTGATCTTCTTCTTAAACCGTTCTGTCTTGGATATAGTAGAGAAAAATCAAAAACCGGTTTTTTTAAATTAGAGAGTCCCTCCCGTTTCTGAATATAATCTTAAATTGCGCGCAAAATTTCAAATTTATCGGCTTCATGTACGCGACTCTGATTGGTTGAATTTTATACACTTTTCAGGATACAAGTACAAGATTAGGTTAGTCTCGATATTAAGAAAAAGGTTAGATTAATCTCAAAATCTACCATTCTATAGTTTTCAGCTCAGGAAACAATTAAACCGACTATATGTGCCGATGGCGAAAATGTCGGCTAAATAATTCTGGACTTTTGATGTTTGACATCGGCATGTTTGCAAGGAGGACATTTTATTTTTAATGAATAATAGTTTAGGGCAGAATAAATAATGATAAAAGAATATCAAAACACTTAAATAAAATATTATTTTTTTGTTTTAACATTATTTTGAAGGAAAAAAACTATTAGAAATAAATGAATAAATAAAAGATAAAAGTAATATGTATTGCAGGATGAGCCAGACCTCAAAAAAGTTGGTGTTATCTGGGATGTTTGTCTGTTACATTTTTATCCCTGGGTAAATCAGCAAAGGTAAACAAGAAATATTAAATTAGAAATTTTTTTTTGTTAGATATTAGAAAATTTAAAAAAGGCAAAATTCACTTCTGAAATCTTAATTTACGTAAATCTAAATTTAAGTTAAATACAATTTCTAAGTCTGTGTTTGTAAACAAAGGGAGTCCTGGAGACACAGCAGTTATATATTGTAAACTGGAGACACAGCAGTTATATATTGTAAACTGGAGACACAGCAGTTATACATTGTGATGGTAATGCCAAATCACAATGATATTAAAGAGGAGTAAATGGCTCACTTTAGTATTTAATCACTTTGCTTCCCCACCTCATCCAGGGGTGGGGGAAATGTTTTTGATGCTCTGGTAACAAATATAAAATTACATATCAAAAGGCAAGTTTGCTAATCCTGATCGATACTTTTTTCCCTAAAAATCGTCTATTTTCCCAAATTCAGCAAATAAAGTTTTGCACTCTCCGCAAACACATCCAACATTTGCGGAAAAAATATTATAAATTAAGGGGATGTAAAATAGTTGAAGAAATTACACACCTCTGCGATAATTGGAACATAAATAACACAAACCCTTATTTTCTCATATCAAATCAATCCCTTTAATTTCAAATTTATAAATAAAGTTGAGAAACATGAATGGTGTTGTGTTTAAAGATTAGAATTGATAAAATTATCAATCTTGCAACAACATTATCGGCCTTCACGGAAACCTGAGCTCAAAGATCGAATTCAGCAAGTTCAGCAATTTTTTTTTCATAAACACTTATTAATAAAAATAATAATATTTGTTTAATATATTAATTATTCATGTCCTTCACGAGTCAGCAGTATAGGCTTGAAGTCTTGGGTGGATTTCCTGAATTTTAGAGGACACCCCCCCTCTGTATAAATGTAGGGTGCATCTTCTAGCCCTTCACTGTTCATTCTTAAGAATGGATTCCCAAAAAATGTTGTTTATGCAGGTGCTTCTTCAGGGGCGGACATAAGGATTCTGTAGGGGGGGGGGGNCTTTTAAAATTACGAAACCAACATAGATAAGTCTGAATGAGTTTAGTCCGATTTATATTTAATTCAAAAGTTTCTAGCCCTTTAATGATTCTGAAAAAAGCTTCTAAAATAAATTGTCTAATTTTATTAATGAAATTAATTATATCAAATTAACTCTCTGAGTAGCTGTGCTCAATTTTGCAGAAAAGATTTATTCCCAGGAATCCTCTCTTTTCTTTTACACAAAATTAGGGCTCCACAAGTTTTAAAGAAACAACATTTTTTATTGTTTAGAATATTAAACATTTTTAGCGTTTCAATAACATTGGTATCAGAGGATCCACGAAATCCAAATTCGTCACCTCTTTTACAGTGATAGCCAGAAGATTCTGGAATTGGAAGACGACGTTGAGTCTCAAGTTATGACGTTAAATAGTGCAATGATCATGGGAAACAGAAATTATGCAGTGTAATCAGACTTTCTAAGTGACTTAATAAGTGTTTATTACTAGATTCTGTAAAGGTTTTCTGAATTGTTATACAGTATGTCCCACGAAATATGACAGTAGCAAGACGACTTTAAGGTCGTCTTTGATCTTTAAAATAGTTTGCCTCACTTATTTGTCATTTTCAAAGTTAATAATCATAAAATATTCCTACTCCTTGGATTTACAAAATATAGTTCGTCTTTTTTGTGCTTTCAATATTACCAGAGTTATGATGAATATTACAGATTTCTACCATTTTATTTTTGTTTAATAAGTTGAAATATGAACGAAATTCTATATAAAATATCTCAGGTAATATAGCAGCACAATAAATGGCAGACCATGTTATTGGCTAGAAATGGGAGAATTAATGATTGTTTTAAGAATCATGCGACATGCATGATTGCTATAGTTTCACAAATCAAAGCCGTTTTGTTGTAAAACTTGTGGGCTACCCTGTATCTTCATAATTCTGACAGGGCTGCCAAATTTTTACTTGAACTAAAATTTTTTCTTTATATTTTAAAAACAAACAAAAAAGTTGTTTCTTTTCTAAAGTCAGATCTCAATGAACGAAACAGTATAGTACAATGCACAATGTACACTGAACAATGTACAGTGTACAGTGTACACTGTACACTGTACACTGTACACTGATCACTGTACAGTAAACAATATCCCGGGTCATAAGCCCGGTTTGTTTGTCCGGTTCTAGCTATGATTTAGCTGCGACTTCCTAGCTTAGCTATGATTTTGTATTCGTTAGTCCAAAATCAGAGCAAGATCGAAGCTTAGGTTAGATCTGAAGTCGGAGCTAAATATCAGCTGAACATCAGCTGATGGAAATCACACCTGAGGTTGGATTTAGCTTCGACTTCACAGCAAATGGGAACAAACTATTCGCCATTTTTAGGTTTTCACATGATATTGGGTACAAATAAGCAGACATTAAAACTACTAAAATTGCAAAACATGAAAATAGAGACCAGAAATAATATGCCAAGATGCATAGTTCAGAAAAATGAAAATACTTCTAAGATTTTTTAAAAAACCTAAAAATAATATTTTTTTAAAATAGATAATTTTTTTATTTTTTAACTAATAAATTTAAAAAAATATTTTTTAATAAATACTTTTAAAAATAAAAATTTTCTTAAGAATATTTATTTTTATTTTGAATACAAAAAAAAGATTTTTTTAAAACAAAAATAAACCTTTTTATCAGATATTTCCTTTTAAAGATTATTTCTGTTATTCTCTTTATTTTCTTCATCTTTTATTCTCTATCTATCTATCTATGTATTTATTAGTCTATCCATCTTTCTAATTTATCAATCATTTTACAATTTTAAGGCCAAAAATCAAAGACGACTTTTTAAAGCGGTCGAGAAAATATGAATGCCCCACAAAATTTTATTTTTTTGCTGTCAGAGGAAGGCCAGCTGTCATCAAATCATAGTCAGAGCAGCTTAGATTGGATTTATAAAACAAATTACTTGTACTTTGACTAGATCTGAAATCATACTAAATCCAACCTCAAAATTTTGACTTATGAATGAGCTTTGACTATGATCTGAAATCTAACCTTGTAGCTATGATCTCAAATCATAGTCAGAGTCAAAGCAAGTTACAGCTCGATAAACGAACCGGGCTATAGAGCTGTAGCTTTGACTTGACAGCTGAGCTGTAGCTAGTTAAAGCTGTCTGAGTGTTCTAGTCAATGGACACAGCTAGATCAGACCTTAGGTGTGACTTCTAATCGTAGCAAAATTTCAGCTGATCCAAATCATACCTCAGCTAGGATTTAGCTCCGACTTCACAGCCAAATCACAGCTAATGGGAATAAACTGGACGCCATTATTTACAGAATCCTAATGAAATTGGAACGTTTATTCAGCCATTAACATGAAAAATCGAATATAATATTGTGTTATATTGTTGTACTTTTAGTTTATCAAATAAGAATAGTTAATTTTGTTTGCAAATTTTAAAGATAATTGATTAAATTCATATTGCAATTAAATCTAAATTGTTAATAAACAAATGATTGAAAATTTGCCAACAAAATATGATGAAATTTTCAGAATTTAGTATTTTGGAATTTTGTCATACAATTATTCTTTGTAAAGATTTAGTCCTTATATAAAAAACGACTTTATTAAAGAGATCGCTTTTTGTACAAATGCCCAGTAAGATTTTATTTTCAGCTGTCAAATTTATGACTTCGCAGCTTGGATTACAGCTTAGCTACGACTCGAAGTCACAGCTATCAAATGCCATGACTTGAGACTAATGAACGAGGTTGATCCAATTTTGAAATCAGAGCTATGTCTGAAAATCATAGTCGTAGTTACAGCAAGTTAGAGCTTGTTCTATAACCCGGACTAATAATACTTAATATTTTAGTTGGAGTATCTGTGTTTTGAAAACTATTTACGGAGAATTTAACGCCTGCTACTGCAATAAAAAGGTAAAAAAGTTCATTTTACTCATTTTGGGGTCAATTCCAAGGCACAAGGGGGGGGTGTAGACTTCTTTCCAAAAAATAAAATATTACAGTAATTAAACATGGAAAACGTTTTGTATGGGTTTTCTAGAAAAAGAAATAAAAATTATCTTTCTGGACAAATTTTCTACCTTCATTGCAGAAACAAAGCATTTGTCGTTAAACTATCTTTTAACAAATTTTCTTGTGTTAACTCTTTTTTTTACAAGTCCATATGTTACCCGCAAAGAAAGAGACTGTAAAGACGACCCGGAACTCATTTATTGTGAAAATTCCTAGATTATATTAGGTCATCTAATTGAAATAAATCTTTTAATACCTTATTTAACGATGTGACAAAGAAATAAAAAAAGTTTACTGTTGAAGAGAACTTGAATAAAAGGAAACAGAAAGTATAAATTCTGTACAGTCGTCTCTGAAGTCTCATTCTTTGTGGATAAATATATTTTGAATTTATACTGGTATTTTCTACAGGGAGAATCAGAAAACCGCGGAATACAAATAGACGATATTTCATAATAAGTTTATAGTCCTACCAAAAAAAATATTTTCCTAACAAAGTAAAAAACTCGCTGCGCAATTTTTGTCTCATGTTCAGTGTTCATTGGACTATTTAAAGTCATAACTTGAGTCTATAAGTCGTCTACCTATTCTAAAGTTTTCTGGTTCTCACTGTATACATTTTAGAATGGATACTGGGTGAGAGGATTCTGTATTTCTAAACTAGAATGTTTATTTGGAGGGATTGGAGTACCTAGTTTAAAAGGTACAAGCAAACAAATGTCGTCTTCTTTTGTAATGTCTTTCTTCTCTTTTGTGATTTAATATATTAGAAAATTACAGATCAAAGGCATCCATCTATAAACGGTGACTCTCTGACTTTAATAGGAAATTGGAATCGAAAAATTAGTATTGATATATACGAATACGACTAATCTAGTATGATTTATATTCTAGAAGTTTTTTACTCTCAAAATTTCTTATTTAAATACTGAGTTAAGATATAACTGCACAAACTACTTCATTATTTACAACTACTTTACAAAACATCCCTCGCTACGCTCTGGATGTTTTGTTGGCAAAATGGGTCGAGGGAACCCGAGTTGTGAAGTACAATTTGTAATGTCCCGAACAAAGTTGCACAATTTTATCATCTTTTCAGATGAAAATGCGAATATTTTTTTATGAAAACATTGCATAGTTATTTTTCTTAATGGCCCCAAGAGACGTTAACGTTCCTCTGCGACGAGAGTCATGGGTCGGTAATGTTGGCTATAAGGCTGTAAAAGAAACTGCACAAACATTTAAACTATTTTGTTATTCTAGGCGACGAGACAGCTGTTTTATCTCAATATTGTGGGAATCAGGTTGAATATATATTACAAGGAACTAAAGCTGATCAGTTAACATTTTTACAATATCAGGCTCTAGACAGATTCAGGTAATTAATAGATCAATAAGATATCTTTTAAATAATACCCCCCCCCCCCCCTTAACTTAACTAAAAGAGGGAAATAAAACTTTAACTTCCTTTCCAAATTTTCGAAAGATTTTCAAAGTCGGGGGGGGGGGGGGGAATTCTATAAAATATACCTGCTGTAAATATAAATTATACACTTTTCCAGTATTTTTGGAAATGATTTTAAAATGGGTTTTTACACGTTCAAAAAATGTGTTGTAACTTATAGCTATACAAATCTGAATTTTTAACGCAAAACGAACTCGATCTAAGTTTGCTAATATATTATTTTTACAAAATTGAAAGCTTTCAAACGAAATCAGTACAAATGGGTCATAGCCTTGAACTGAGTAATTAGTTTAAAAACAAACCATACATATATAAATTTAATAATTAAGTGTAATTGATTACGAATAAACTCCATTAACACAGTGCGTTTCCTTCTCTTTCATCATTATAATTTAGAGGGGTTTATACTGATTTGATCTGCCTTAGTTTAAATGAACTTTAAAAAATTGCAATTATGAAAAAGAATATTTAGAAATAGTCGTCGACGTAATTGTAGTGAACTAAGCACTGTGCAGTGATTCCCATATTAAAATTGCAAAAAGTTAAAATTGTATTTAAACTTGATAAAATATTAATTATAATAATGTTTGATCAGACCTCGGGCACCCTACAGTCAACTTTCACCCTGCCATAGGTAAATATATTAACTTTACCTTAATTGTTCATTTACAAACATATTTGGTAAACTTGCAATACAGGGGAACACATAAAACTAAGGAATAAGAAGACGATATTTCAGAAATATTACAGTTATAACCAGAAAGCTGTGGAATAGGAAGACGACATTAAAGTCATACTTATGCATTTTTGATGGTGTTACAACGCAAATAGTTTTAAGAGTAACTTATAAAATAACTTAAGTTTAATGGGTCTGTTTACATTACACAATTTCTGTGTCTCATGTTTTTAGGTCCTATTTAAAATTCATGACTTGAGCCTGAAAGTCGTCTTGATATTCCAGAATTTTCTGGTTCTCACTGCATTGTATATTTAGATTTACTACTAGATTAAAATTTAACTCATTAAATGAATTGAGTCTGTGTACACTGCACATTTGATGTGTTTCATGTTGTAAGGACTATGAAACTTAAGTCTGAAGTCTCTTCCTAATCAACAGTTTTATGGGTCTTACTGAACATTTTAGTGGCTTCTTTCGGGGGGGGGGGAGGAGGGGGGGGGGAGTGACAAGGATTAGGTTGATAACATAACTATTCTTTAATCACTTCTCAGGACACGTATTATAACATTTAGTATTAGAAAGCCATTCTTATACCTTTCCTCTATATTAGAATTATAGTTTTACTCTTGCTTTATCAACACAAATGTATTTCTATTTAAAGGGACTGGTAAGCGTTATTTTAGGCGACTCTCCTTGCAAAGAAGGCAATGCCCGATTCACAACGTTACCCTTAAAAGCTTTGTCTGGATGAATAACATTATAAATGAAAACATATAGGAATTATCAGAATTAAGCTCTTTTAAACCTAGAAAAACGACAATATCTTCCACATTATTGATGAAGGTTTAAAATTGGACATCACCATTATTGCGGGGAGGGTCAGATGAAATTACGCTTACAGTCCCTTTACTTCCTTTCTTTATGAAGAACGAGGTAGAATTTTCCGATTTTGAATTAAAGTTGTTGCAATGTTTTTTTGAAATGTTTTTTATTTAATCCTATAAATGTCTTAAACTTTATATTTGATATTATTTTAAATAGACAAATCCAAATTGTGCAATAATCAAAATAAATTAATATACAGTAGTGGGTAATTATATCCATACAATGAAGACGACTTTTTATTTAAGTCTTGATTGTTTACAAGCTTTTTTCGAATTACAAGCTTACAAGTTATTAAATAAAAGCTTCTGTAATCGGTTAGCTTCTATATTTGTTTCCATGTTTATGTGTATCCATGCTTTTTAAAAGCTTGATATAATTCAAAATTTGAAATACGAAAGGTTAACAACAAACCGCAAGATATAAGGATTTACAAAAAAGCAGTTTTGAAGAGAATGTCTCTTAACATGGGCAAATTTGATATTTCTCATTTTCCACTTTTATCTGAAAATACCATCTTAAAATATTGTAATGCAAGAAAAGATAACTTTAAAGGGGAAGAAAGGAAGAAATTTTTGCCACAAATTTGAAATTTTTTAATCCCTTATTTTGTTTAACTTATTGTGTAAATTTTTAATATTTCAAACTTAGATTATTTGCTTTAACATATGTCATAGCTTGAACCAAGAATGTAAGGCAAGGAAAGTCAATTGCGGTTGTGTATACTCTGTGTACATATTGAAACCAGTTCTCTCTGGGCGGAATTTGTAAACAATAATAGATGCATCAGTGTCCGTTTAGTATCCGAGGAGGTTAAAAGCATTAAATTTGATAATTTTGATAATTCACACAATAATTTCCTATGACCAGAATATTTCATTGATTTTTTATGTGAAAGATGGATCCCATGTCAGGCTTCGACATCCGTCTTGTGTTTACATTACCGCCCAGAGACAGTACACTACAGTACTAAAGATGTGTACACTTCTGAAATGACTTTCCTTGCCTTACATCCTTGGCTTGAACTATCTTAAGTCTAATTGGTTTGTACTGATGTAAGGATTAAAAAATCAGTGTTTGTGACAAAGAGTCAATTCCTTTATTATAATTAAATTCGTTTATTTGAATCAATCTTTAAATAAATTTTTTTATATTTATTTCAGCACCAACTTCACTGGTCTTTTTGACGTGGGGCAGCTTATACTTGAGGACTTAGGTGTTTACAAAGCTCAAATTCATCTTATATTTACCGTTTCAAAACTTTATGCAAAATATCTCAAAAATGTCTGCATTTTAATGTTTGATTTAAAGATTAATTTTTAAAAAATTCAGAAATTATTTTATTTCCTTTAAATTTGAATAGACAATTAAAAAAATATATTTTGTTCTTTGTCTTGAACAAGTTTTGAGCTTGAAATAACACGTAATTATCTCTTAGACAGTCAGTTAGTAGTTTATGAGCCTAAACTAGCAAAGGTAAGATAGGAAAGAAATAATAATATATAACATGTTATGTATCTAGTGGCGAACAGGGCATTTAAAATGAAATATTATAAATTCTATTTTTAGAAGAAGAGAACAGGAAAAAAGAAGAAGATAGAAATGATGGACGAAGTTTATGAAACTTATTTTGCTCCTAATCACTGTGCCCCGGTCGTAGAAGAGGTTATTGTCGAGGATGCAGCCACAGTGGAGGCCAGGAGCTTCTTCACTGAGAAACTGATGGAAAAGTTGTTTGTTAATGTCGTCATCACATTTGTGTTTGGACTCATTAACGGATATATAACCCTGTGTTCCCCTGCTTCTATTACAGGATCGTTTTGGCTGAAATTTGCTCTAAAATCCAGCCAAGGGCTTGTTATATGCCTTGGACTATGTGAGGTTTTATTCTACGGATTAACCTGGACCCTTCCTGCAGACTTTAAACAAAGTAATATTATTGTTGTCTACAGCTTTGTGGTTTTGGCGGGAATCAGCTGTTTTATGTTAAAACAGCTGTTTTTCAATCTCTTCTGGACACTGTCATTTGTGAGCATTATCATTGATGTGCTGGCTCTTCGGCTCATGAGTGTTTGGGGAGTTCAACCACTCATGACAGTTTATGAATGGAGCCTAGCGGTTAAAATGGGGCTGACAGTATCGGCGATATTTTTTATTTCCACAAACTATTGGAATGTACAGCCGCTAGATGACGCTAGTGAGGACTCTGGAGATAACTTGAAGACTAAAAGGAAGATGAGGGTGGGGAAGCAAGGTTCAATAAGTGCAGTCAAACCTAGAGTTAAAGGAAAAATTGCTGATATCAGTTGTTACGGCCATTTGCCTGACGTCAAACCACAGGTAATATTCTTTTTGAAAAAATCTGTATTTATTAAACAGAATACTTGAAAATTTTGGTTTCACGATAATGTGATCAACATGGTCAAAGGGAGTGTCTGTGAAATTTCCAGTTATCCTACTTTTAAAAAAGGGGCATGTCCAATTCATAATGGTGCCCTTAAACATCTTGAGTAATAATGAGTAATAAATTGTTGAATTTTCCTTATTTTTTGCATTGTCTCTTCAGCATGAATCCGTAAATCACTTCTATATAGAGTCCACAATTGAAAATATCAAATTTTAATCTAGAAAAATAAGAATGTCTCTTTTTGATCCTTGATAAGACGAAAGATTAAAAGGTGGAGTTGTAAATCGGACATGTTACTCTATAAATGAAGCTTTTCTTTAATATAAAAAAACAATAAACAAAAAAAAAACAAATTATGAATCTCATTTTTTGCTTATATTTTGATATATTTTTTATTTTTGTTTTCAGGGCTATTTGTGTATTTACTGTTCGGCCAGCTGTATGCTAGAATATCACATAGACTGTTGGACTAACTTTAAAACTATTCAAAGTCCCAAAGTTTCTGGGGCTTCAGGGATATTTAGGGATAAAGAAATGTTGAATTCTGAGTGTCCAACACCCCGATGTACTGGACTTATCCACTGTATTCTCTGGTTTGATATAAATGGTGTGAAAATAAACAAAAAACTGGTTTTCAAAGAAAATACGCGAGAAATGAAAGTGAATTCCAAAATGTTGCCAAAGAAAAGATTACGGCGACACCTTTCAACTACCTCAATTAACTCCGAATCGTCTTCAAACAACTCAGACTATTCAATAATATCTGATAATTTCAATGTTATTGGCACAATGAACCATATTCCAATTAAATACTCAGTTTTGCCAAGATGTCCGTCTCCTCAACCCAAAATAAAAAAAGAGAATTCAAAGATAAAAAAGATAAAACCAGTATTGGGCACTTTACCTGTAGGGATGATTCTAGAGAGCAAGAAAAAGAAGAAACCAAAACCTAAACAAAAATCACAAACTGTGGCTCAATCATCAAATATGGCTCATTTTGAAGGGATGAATTGCACCCGGGTAAACCTGCCACGGTATCAAACCCTTGGCTCAAATCCATCAGATTTCCTTGAATCAATTATGAGTATTGGAGCAGAAACCTTTGGTCCCGTCACGTCTTTTCCTCGGCCTAGAGAATCTAAAATCCTGGCAATGATTAATCAAATCAAATCTGAAAATGTGAAAAAGCAAGAATCTGAAGAATCTGTAAAGTTTGTCCCAAGTGGAACATTTTATGAGTCAAGTGGAGCAAGCTCGTTATTCAGTTCATCTTCAGGATCACTGCCAAGCAGTTCAATAGCATCAACACCTGCCGTATCTCCCTCAACTCTTAACTATATTACTGGAGCACGGAAGGTAGGGAAAATGTACACACTTCAAAGCAGAATTCTTTGGAAAGACGACATTAAGTTTCAGCATTTATTCATTTATTTCTTATGAATTTAGATTCACACTGCAAAAAGTGCATTTATGATTCAAACCTGTAAAAAAATGTTTTCTCCCTGTAAATTGTAAAATAATTATTTTCCCTGTCTAATTACAAGCAAAGAGTAGTACATGCAGAAAAAAAACTGCCTGCACTTGAGTGCACTAACACTTTTAAAGTGCTAGTTCAAAGATTCTCGTGAGTTCCATTTAGTTAAGACAACATAATGGCGAAATATATAAATAGATCTAATAGAGAAATATATTGATGTTATTTAATATTGAAAATAGCATAAAACTTGTTGTTAAGGGAGAAATGAACCCAGATTACTTCTATATTGATGTTATTTAATATTGAAAATAGCATAAAACCTGTTATTAAGGGAGAAATGAACCCAGATTACTTCTATATTGATGTTATGTAGGGCAAAATAGCATAAAACCTGTTATTAAGGGAGAAATGAACCCAGATTACTTCTATATTGATGTTTTGTAGGGCAAAATAGCATAAAACTTGTTATTAAGGGAGAAATGAACCCAGATTACTTCTATATTAATGTTATGAAGGGCAAACTAACATAAAACTTGTTGTTAAGGGAGAAATGAACCCAGATTACTTCTATATTGATGTTATTTAATATTAAAAATAGCATAAAACTTGTTGTTAAGGGAGAAATGAACCCAGGTTACTTCTATATTGATGATATTTAATATTGAAAATAGCATAAAACTTGTTGTTAAGGGAGAAATGAACCCAGATTACTTCTATATTGATGTTATTTAATATTGAAAATAGCATAAAACCTGTTATTAAGGGAGAAATGAACCCAGATTACTTCTATATTGATGTTATGTAGGGCAAAATAGCATAAAACTTGTTATTAAGGGAGAAATGAACCCAGATTATATTTAATATTGAAAATAGCATAAAACTTGTTGTTAAGGGAGAAATGAACCCAGATTACTTCTATATTGATGATGGTGGATTAGCTCAGCCTGAAGAAAAAGAATGCTCAATTTATGATCTCAAGAATTATCCAAATATATCTCCATTAGCTGCTATTCTTAGGTAGAAACTCGGTTTAGTGACCATACAATGAAAATTTTGCATATCCTTCCTTTAAATGGTAGAAATAATGGTGTTATTTCTGTTATTATAGTTCCAATCACAATACTCTCTAAAAATTACGGTGTATGAACAAGAAAAAGAAAAAAAGAATATGATGTTCATTTGAGACAAAATTAATAAATACTCTCCTTGTCCGAAATACTGGATACTGTTATTTATTGGACTTACCACTTTATAGTTGGAGGGCCAATTGAAACTATGTCTATAGTCCTATTAACGAATCCATTCTTTGTTAAAAATATCTAATTTATTTACCAATTTTTATCGATTTAAAGGTTTTCGATAATTATCTTTTAAATTAATCATTTCATTTTTATTATTAATTTATTATAATTATTGTCATCATTATTATATTTTTAGTAAAAGTTTCCCCCTTTACCCTCCTGACCAAATTGACGAGTGCCTGCGGTCAATCCTATTAAGGATGGAGACCCAACATTTAACCTTGGATCAATTCAGGTACTTTTTACAAGTATAAAGTAGTAATCGCTGTCTGTGTTTGGATATACGATCATAACTTGTGAACCGCTGGACCAATTTGCCTCGATAGAACCACGGAAATGTTTTTAGTTTGGTTTATAAGTTTTAAGTATATTAGATAAAATTTTTAAGGCAAAATTCAGTTTCCAGGACAAGATTGGTTTCCGAGCTAGTTTGCTGATATTTTTTTGATGTTTTTTTTTTCTTCTTTCTTTTCCGGGATGGGGGCTTTGGTTGCTGGAATTACAAAAGAGGTTGAGCTCCCCTTCCCCCCCCCCCCGCTTAAACTGAGCAATAATCCTGTATACGCCCCTGGTTTGGTTGAGTAAGATATTCCAAAAACTTCGAAATGTTTTAACAACTATTTAATGGGAAATACTAAAGCACATAATAGATTAAACGCTTTCGTTAGTCTTATAATTATCTATTAATTTTTACGAATAGAGATACAACTTTCTACAAATGAAACCATCTTTTTTTCTACAAATGCCAATGAAAAATAAATAAATTTAGCCTTCAGATCGGGGTATTGGAATAACTTCATGTCGTCATTGATTTCTCATCCTTTGTGGGTATTCATTTTTTTCGGTGTATGTTCAAATTAAGATTTTTTTTTATTTTGTAGAGGCCTAGTTGCACAAGAGTTGGAAGGTGTACCAGAAGATGATGATTTTTCAGGTTGGAAAACTTTAAAAAATATATATCTTTAAACGAATATTCAAGTGCCACGGCACGGCACGGGTATATTGGGGGGTCAGGGGGTTACTGGTTGTTGTCACAATATTCTGAAAATCTTTTCCTTTACAAACATTGTATCAATTTTATCTTGCATTGATTTATAATGATTTTAATTTATAATTACTTTTCCCGTTCATATATTTATCCTTGAATGGATGCTGTAAACCCGCAATATATTTATAATATCGTCTTTGTTACAGAGAACTATTTCAGGAAAAAACATATACTTCTTACAAGAATTTACAACGGATTCAGGATAATCCAGATATATTAATAGATTCTAACAACCATTATTAAAGATGTGTGGGCGCCGGCAGCAGCCCGCCAAAGTATTAGTTGGGTCTCTGATTCGTGTTTAAAATACCCATTTTAAGAGTTTTCACTTAAACGGATTTCTAAACTTCAACACAACATTACTATGCCTCAGAGGATTATATAAAATAAAATAAACTCAAGCGATCGAGCCTTATTTGACTCGAATAAAAGGTTTATAGTGTAAGCTAAAAATTGCTTCCCCCCCTGATACCCCATTGTGCGGCATGTCTCATTCAAACAATACCACAATACCCTTTAAACATACATCTGATTTATCAACCTGGAAGATTTCCTCGTTTTCCTATCTGAAAAGTGAATCACTCGTAAATTTGAAAAAAAAACTACTTTTTAAAAATTCTAAAAATTTTTTATTTTTTTTTTTACAAACTTTAACATTTTTCATATTTTCAAGGCTACTACTTATTTATGAAAAGTATATTTCTATTTGAGAAGGAGTTTTTGAGAGTGACGAAGATGAAGATGACTATATCGACGAATGTTCTATTTGTACAGAATCCTTGCTCTACGGACTTATCAGGTAGAATTTTTTGTGAGATATACAGTGAAACCCTTAATAACGAATACATCGGAAGAATTTATTAAATGTCGTCTTGACAATTTTTCAATGAGTTTTATACTATATTATGTTTTGACTGCATACGGTTGTACTTAGTAAAACAAGAAAATTGCAGTATACAAACAGAGTAAACTTGTCCGTCTTCACTGTTCATCTTGCGGATACATTATAGACACATCTTTACAGTCTTTTAACCCTTTTTATAAAATAAACTCTAGCAGACATAATAATAGTATGGCTTTTGAAATTAGGTATTACAATGCTAATTCATAACAAGACGATATCGAATTCGTCTTTGAAGTCCCATGTTTTTTGGGACACCCTGTATATCATTCTTTGAACAAAAGATTAAGTTTTAACAATTTCAAAGAATTAAGGATATTTATGAAAATTAGTTTAAAGCTTTTGCTTAAAATGAGTACTTTGCAATTGCCTGTTTCATCATTATACTAAATGAACTTCTGTGTAAACAGGGTTTCCCACAAAGGATGAGACTTAAGAGACGACTGTACGAAATATATGCATTCTTACATCTTATATTTCTTGCCCACCGCAGCTAGCTTACGCGTCTCATTATTCTTAAACCAAATCATTTAATAACTGGAGAGACTATTTTCAAGGCAGTTCCTGAAAATATACCCCCGTACTGACATATCATTAACGTCTTATACTTTTTGGGTTACACTGTATTATATGCCATCAAATTGTATCAACTCTAAATTAATGAATAAATGATTATACAGATAAACAAGGAACAGGTAATATTCATTTTTCATCGCCTGTTTCAATGTAAATTCGTAATTTTCTCAAAAAAAACTTCACTTTGCTTAATTATTCCAAGGGGAAATTCATCAATGAAATTAAACTGTCAAATTGTGGATGCAATGTTTACTAATTTTGAATGTATAGCCAATATAGCAGGGAAGGGATTGGGTCAAATAGATTTTTAGCGACCGACATAATACTGTTAATACTGATTTAACACGGATTTCCTTCAGGCCTTTATATTACTAGCAAGAATGGAGATAAAGAATACTTTTTTTCTAAGAAATATTATTGTGCTAGGACCGAATTTAATGAATTTGAGATGTCGCTAAACTACCCACCACCGGTTCAAATCTTGAAAATCACCGATTCAAATCTTGAAAATCACCGATTCAAATCTTGAAAATCACCGATTCAAATCTTAAAAATCAGATTCAAATCCTCATGAATCGGAATAAAATTCATTTAATTCGGTCCCTGACGAAGAAAGTATAATGCATCCATCTATGAAGGTTAAAAGTTTTTACAATTCATTTTGATTTAGGTTTTTTACTTGATTTTAAAAAGACATTTTTTTTTTTTAGATTGGAGCCCTGTGGTCATAGTTTTCACAAGAACTGTATACAAGAATGGTTTTGTAAGGATAAATCCTGCCCCAACTGTAGATCTGATATCTCTGAAAACCTGCCCTAACTGTAGATTTGATATCTCTGGAAACCTGTCCTAACTGTAGATCTGATATCTCTGAAAACCTGCCCTAACTGTAAATCTGATGTTTCTGAAAACCTGCCCTAACTGTAAATCTAATGTTTCTGAAAATCCGCCCTAACTGTAGATCAAATGTTTTTAAACCTGCCCTAACAGTAGATCTAATACTCCATAATCCGTGAAGAAAAATTCTCAATTTAACTCTTGACAGTTGAGTTTACTCATTTATATTGTCCAGTTATTATCCTGTACATTGATTTACATTGTTTACTTGATACTTGCTACTCAATAAATTTTCAGTGCTTTTAAATTTCAGTAATTTTATTGTACTATATTATTTATACCTATTTACAGGGTGTCCCACAAAACATGACAGTTGGTTAATAGTTTAAAATGTCTGCTTTAATAAGTTGTTTGATACCAAAGAGACAATTGTTCTTAAACAGGGAACGCCGGGCACATCAGCTAGTTACTTGATTATATATATATCTAATAATCTAACATGTAACATTACTTGAGTCTAACTTGGTCTATATTTGGTCGTGATTTCAAAGTAAAGGGAGCCAAAATATGGAAAATAAATGAGACCTGAAGTAAGAACTTTTGTATTGTGGATCTCCATCCCTTTTATAGAGTAGCTAGCTCAGTGTAGGAATTCTTAAATTTGAGGATAAATAATACCAAGATTCACTTCAGATCTCATGGGTTTACATTTGAAACAGGGTGTCCCAATAAACATGAGAATTCAAGATACAACTTTAAAATCTTCTTCACCATGTCTGATAGTTGATGATGAAAAAGGTGGTGTCAAAATAAATATTGTGCCTCTCATTAGCTTTCAAAAATGTGGTCTGCCTCCTTTCTGTGTAGTAAAACCCTACTCCATAAAAAGTCCTCGAAATATATCTATCCAGGTACAACCTGTCCACTCTCAAAGTCAGCAATGACACAATCCAAATGCCTACAATCCAATGCACTATCAACGCCACTGTCACTCGTTTGCTATTGGTGGCAATATGGACACAAGCTATTAACCGGCTATAAATGCCACACAGGGACACAAGCCTACATATAAATCAAGCTCTAAATGCCACACAGGGACACAAGCTTAGCTATCAAGCAAGCTCTTAATCGATCTATACCAAAAACCCAGGTATGATATCAGCCTGTATGTTTCAACATGACACAGTTAGCTATCAAACAAGCTCTTAATCGATCTATACCAAATATCGAGGTATGATCTCAGCCTGTATGTTTCAATGAGGACCCAGTATGCTATCAAACAAGCTCTTAATCGATCCATACCAATTAACGACATATGATCTAAGCACATATGTTTTAACAGGGACCCAGTAAGCTATCAAACAAGTTCATAATCAATATATACCAGATACTGAGGTATGATCTCAGCTTGTATGTTTCAACGAGGACACAATTACTCTACACTGTAATCAAAGCGGAGTTTCTATATTAACTAACTTTATGTTAGATATTGTATGCTACGTTATGTTATGTTATGTTAACGTGAATTGACAAAATTACACGTTTAATTTACAGAAAATGCTTGTGAACAATGAGACATTACAGAAACCAATAACAGTCAGATTACATATTTTCAAAGATAAAATTTAATTTATTTTTCTCAACCTGTTCCCAAATAACTAATTAATTTACTGTCCAATTTTTACCACATGTTTCGTCGTCGTTATTAAATAATGTATTGATAAGATCAGAGAGGATAGATATAACCTAGTTAAGATATCTCCACACATGTTTACAGCGTAGTATAAGCTGAATGTAGGTATTTAAAGGATTAACATGGAAAGATGTAAACATAATCACAATGCATGTTTTAATCATATTACATAGCTCATGTTAAATATATATCTAGGTATGCTCAGGTTAACAAATATTGGGATTGCTGCAATATTTGCTACATGTATCTTCAAAATTGACGGAGATATTAAACATTTTAACGATTTTTAGACACTGGACATATTTCTTAATATCTCCGTCAATTTTAAGACATTTTTTGAGAAGGAGAGTTACCATAAACTGTTTACTAACCAATTTCTCATTTTTTAGACCCTTTATTTTGAAGCAATATTATTAATATTTCAGTCTTTGATGTCTTCGAGATCCATTAGTCTGAAATATCTCAGGTTCCAAAGATAAAGGGTTAAATTAAGCAAATTAATAGAGACGACCTTTTTACTGCCTTATTTTGATTATCACTGTATCTTTATACATAAAGAATAGTCTCTGTTTGGCTGTCCGATCATAACTCAGAAACCCTTTGGCCGTGACATATTTGCTTAAAAACTTTGATTTGGGAACTCGGTAGAATCACGGGAATACTTTAGCTTGATGTAAATTCTAAGTTGAGTAGGTTGACTTTCAAAGAGAAAGGCAAAGCTGGGTTCCAAAGCTTATACTATATATCATCAGTTAGTCCTGGAAAAATATATTTGGTCTGATAATGAATATTTCTGTTCAAAGTGTTTTCAAATCTACTGCATTATGCTTTAACCTCACTGGGGTACAATTTATGTCTATTCTGATTAAGGAGCACTACAGGTTTGAGAATGGAAGGGGGGGGGGGTCTTGAAAGTGTTTTGTGATATAATTTCTTATTTTTTCAGAAATAATAGTGAATACAATTTTCACTTTTCTTGAGACGGTATCAATATCAAGATTATTCTGTAAAGTTTAAGATTTAACCTTACTTTCATTAATATTAGTTAGTTTATTATTCTATAGGATAGCCCACAAGCGACGAATATGTTAAAGGAAGAGGGTAGAAACAAATAAACAAAGATATATGTAATAACATTTTACCTAAACTTCTTTTGCTGCTCTTACCCGCAGGTGAAGAAGTATCAAAACTTAAAGGAACTCTAAGGGTAATTGAAAGTGACCCTTCAAGCAAGGATATCAATGCCCGACACTAACCATTAACGAAACGGGTTTAAAAATTTGGAACGTTCCCAGCCCTACCCTCCACCCTAGTTGTAGTCCCTGAGAAATTGACCAAATGTACCGCAGTAACAATAATTGCTTCTTCAGATCAGAAGGTTTTTTACTGAGGGTTTTTATACTTTTTTTAAAAATGTTATCAGATGTTAAAATAATGGTCGGCTTGGAACAGATTGGTTTCTTTTAACAAACAGTTGAAAACCTTCATTTTTAAAGGAACTGATTCAAGTTATGCGTGTTTTCTACACTGCCCCCATTTGTTATACGCCTGGCGTTGCCCGTGGACAAAAAGTAAATAAAAAATGAAAATATGTTGAAAAAAAACGAGTTTGTTTTAGCGTATGTCACCCCCAGACTACCAATGAGTGTCCACAAAAAATGTCAGCCCATTCGATCCCGCCGTTAAAATCTTGAAGTCCTGCATTTTTCCTATTTGTCTATTAATCAATTATCATTCATGCTAAGAACGCGGCATTCAACTTTACAATATATTCATAAATTTTCTTATTTTTAAAATTTTATACTTTTAAGCCATAAAAACGCCAAATCTTTAAAACTTTTGATTAGACAAATGTTTTTTTTTTGTTAATCAGGTATGTTCCTCTTGAAACTACAAGGACAGTTCCTTTAAACGCTACTTAAAGATACGATAAAACTGCCTTGAAAGGTGTATTAAGTTATGTTTAGATTATATAATTGTATTCTCCGTGAAATAAAAGTGAGTTTGGAGCAGAATGAATTCAGTTCCCCAACATCCATCGTCAGTGTACAACAAGTAATATATATATAAATTTAGCTTGTCTTGGTGCTTTTCTGTTTGTTTGTATCCAATAAACGGCTGAACTGATCAGGCCCAAATTTATTGTGTCACCTCACGTGGCCCGAAGGAAGGTTTATAGCAAATCAGACTTTAAATATGTAATCTTAAAATATTTTTATCTTAAATTATTTAATTTTGTAAAATTTTGTAAATGCGCGAAAAAATAGTATGAAATACACAAATTTTGAACTAACTGTAAAAAGAAACGAATATGCTCACAGATACAGCCACGATTTAAAATTGAAAAAGCCTTGTATATATACATTTCAAGTAGTAATCTCTGATTGTCTGTATATGTGTACCGATCATAAATTTAGAACCCCTCATCCGAGTTGAACCACGCAAATATTATCTTGGTTTAAAAATGTTGGGAATCGGGTAAATTTCATGAAGAAAATTATTTTTCCAGGCTAAGCTGGTTTCTCAAGCTACGTAATAGATGAATTAATATCAAGGAATTTATAAAAAAGAGTTATTCTTAAAAGAATTGTGTCTACTTTATGTACAGAAAAGCTTTTAATTGATAATTATTTGATATTTAAAAATATTAATCATTTTCTGAATATCACAGAAAATTGTTAGTTGAATTTTTTGTGATTTTCGGGGAAAATATTAAGTTCTTTATCTAAAGTTTAGTTTCGTTCGTTCAGTAGGAAAATTTATCTTTTTTTTAAGTTCGTTCGAAAAAATTGTTATTTCAGTAAAAAAAGTATTGTTTTCAAAAAATGATTTTTAATTTTTCTGAATGATCCAATTTGATCGTTCATTGTTGGCTCAATTTTCTGAACAATCAGATTTTTTTGTTCACTGTTGGCTCAATTTTCTGAACGATCCATTTTGTTCGTTCATTATTGGCTCAATTTTCTCAACGATCCAAGTTGTTCGTTCATTGTTGGCTCAATTTTCTGAACGATCCAATTTGCTCTTTCATTGTTGACGTAATTTTCTGAACGATCCAATTTGTTTGTTCATTGTTGGCTCAATTTTCTGAACGATCAAATTTGTTCGTTCATTGCTGGCTCAATTTTCTGAACGATCCAATTTGCTCTTTCATTGTTGACGCAATTTTCTGAGCGATCAAATTTGTACGTTCATTGTTGGCTCAATTTTTTGAACGATCAAATTTGTTCGTTCATTGCTGGCTCAATTTTCTGAACGATCCAATTTGCTCTTTCATTGTTGACTCAATTTTATGAGCGATCCAATTTGTTCGTTCATTGTTGGCTCAATTTTCTGAACGATCCAATTTGCTCTTTCATTGTTGACGCAATTTTCTGAGCGATCCAATTTGTTCGTTCATTGTTGGCTCAATTTTCTAAACGATCCAATTTGCTCTTTCATTGTTGACGCAATTTTCTGAGCGATCCAATTTGCTCTTTCATTGTTGGCTCAATTTTCTGAACGATCCAATTTGCTCTTTCATGGTTGACTAAATTTAATTTAATTTCTAAATTTTTTATTTTTCCAGATTTGAAGAAGATTCAGGGGAACTTGCTGTAATTTTCGTTGCTGTGCTCATCGCTTTTTTAGGCATTCAAATTTTTGAGTAAAGTAACTTTTCTTGATTGATCTTTCGATTAGTTTTAAAAACGATATTATTAAATGAATTTTTCGATTAGATAGTGTATACAGAGTAAGATTCAAATATTAATTTAAAAAACTGTTAATTCAGTCAATTGTTATGTCACAATTAGAAACAAAGAATGAAACTTTCATGATGATTTATAATAGAAGTTAACAGTTATAACAACTCCCTTTATTGTAAAACTTACGCCAATTAAAATTGTTTTATGGAAATATTTTGCATTGCGGTTAAACATTTTGCAGATTGTTAAAACTTTTGCAAATTATAATACAGCCTACAGGGCTACAAAATATTTTCTAAATTCTGTCAACTACACTTTTGGATATCATTTTGTCTGCGTTTTATTTGAGGGTCTTTTCAATCCTATCATCTACATATATGTCAAATAGTAAAAATTTAATGTTGATTATTATTAATAACCCGATTTTATATTATAAACATAAAGACAGTAAATACTAAATATACATTTAGACTAGGGTTTCCAGCAAAAAAGAAAAATCGTTTCGCGAAAAAATGCGGAAAAACACGAAAATTTAAATTTAAAATTTAAAAAATTCTTTCTTGTAATTGGCTGGCTCATGGCTAGCTGGATTTGGGTGAACGTACATGGACGGACAGAAACTCAGAAAGATAGCTTGAAAAATCAAATTCTCTTCATCAAACATTTATTAAAGTAGAGGAAGAAAAATGATTAAAAAATATAATAAAACTTAAAATGTTGAGCTCTCAGAGCGGAGCATTTCACAAGTTTTTTTTGCGCAATTAATTGTTGCAGCTACAACACTCATTGTATTCGCGGAATTTGTTTTCTTTTTGGCGAAATTTTGCATTGTTTTGTACTGTTATCGATTCATTAATTTTCGCAAAAACATGCGAAATTTCGCGAAAAAGTTTGTAAAATGCGAACAAAAATTTTATATTTTTTCGCGAAATGTTTCGTGAGCTGGAAACCCTAGTTTGGACCCATAAAACACTGCATGGCGTATGAATGACAATATTTAGACAATCTTATATGTATTTAAAGTTGTTAACTACAAAACGTTCTACCAGTTTCATCAAAATCAAATTATTACGTTAAAGGGGTCTGGAATCACTACACTTAATTTTGCGTCTAAAAGTCGTCTTTCTATTCCAGTTTCACAAGTCTCACTATTTTATACTTTATTTAAATTGAATCTTTGAAAAGTTGGTTGCTTTCTGTATTGTATGGATGTGCTTCGAGATTTTGACGAAATTCGTGGCTTTTACAAAGGTTTTGTCGGAAGGTGAGGGAAGAGAAATATATTTATCAATTGTCAGTTTTTTTTAAATGGAGAAAAAAATTATTATTTATATTTCTACAACTTATATTATATAAACACAATGAAAAAGACTTTTTTCGAATTACAAGTTTACAAAGTAATATTATAAACTGACAGCTTCTCTTGACTTTTATGTATATGTGTTAGAGCTATGTCAACGTTTCGTTTTTTCTAATTTCAGCGTTCGTTACGAAAGTGTTCATCAAAAGTATAAAACGTTGAAACGTTACGCATGCACATTATGCAATTTTTACGGCATAGACCAACGTTACGTAATGTATTTTCTGCACTTGAATACCTTGTACAACGTTAACCCTATCCCTGCTGGGGTACTTGAAAACCAGGATACGCTGGGGGGGGGGGTCAATTTGCCCCCCCCCCCTCTAAATCCCATGTTTTATGTCCAAATATGACAAATGATACATTATTAGAAAGCTCTTGTGCTCTACTTTTAGAATCTGCAAAAAAATTGCAAATTTGCGAAAATTGAATTTTTTATCGCAAAATCCAGTTTTATAGTAAAAATGTGTGCAAAAAAGAATTTGTCCAAAAAATTATACATTTTTGAAAAGCCCTTGACCATGCCATTTCAAATATGCAAAAAAATTTTCAAAATTTTAAATAACCTGATTTTTAATCAAGAAAAACTAAAAATGTGCAAATTTCCTTTGACAGGTTGTTTGCAAAAAATTTGCAATTTTTTTTTCGCAAAACTTGTCCAATCCGTTTCCTTATGTCATAGGCTTTCCAAAAAGCTAAATTTTATCAAAATCTGACAAGTGAAAGTGGGTCAAAACAAAGATTTAGTTTGTTACAGGCAAAAGCAGTCATTCAGGCAGTGTGCCTGAGGACTCAGGCAGTTAGTATTAAAGCCCGGTTTTAGGCCTAAAGGGAGGGCTTTGGGTATGTAAGAAAAGTCAGAAAATTTCAACAGCCTCAGACCAATACTTTTTGAGTTATGTAAAAAAAACTACAGGGGGGTGTCAAATTGCCCCCCCCCCCCCCAGCAGGAATAGGGTTAAGCTTTAGTAAATATCGGTGAAAAAAGTAGATTCCGTTACGCTTTTGCATTTCCTGTTTATAAAACTGTCCCAACGCTGAGTTAAAGCTTTGTAAGTATAACCACAATTTTATAACGTTCCACTTTCATGCAAGGTAAATGTTTTCAGAATGCAGCAATATTAATATGTTCATTAATATGATTAATGAACGGTTTTTAAAATTTGTAAAGTTTTTAGCAATAGACTTTCAACTCATGTGGCGCGTTTTAAAGGGACTAGAGACGTAATTTCATGTGACCTTCCATTAAAAGAACTTACATTTACAATCTAGAAAAACGCTTGTATTTTCAAATTATTAATCAGATAAAGGTATAAAGGGTAGCACTAAGAATCGGGCATAGCCCTTTTTAAATGGAGGATCTCTTGAAATTATCACCGTGTATTTCACGAGCTTAAAAGATATACTGCAGCCTACATGATTTTGAGGACTTCATTATAACTATTTATAACACTGTTATTTTGGTTCGCAGTGTTATAAAGTTTATGGAAAGAAATTTTCTCTTTAGCGAGAACCTTAGAGATATAGAAAAAATTTATGTCCAAAACTTTATGACACATCGTGTCAAAATAATAGCGTTCTAGGTAATTTTATGAAACGTTTGTGTACTTGTCTTATTTCGATATCGATGAATAAAACAAAACATGCATTTTCCAATTGATACACATTTTTGAATTTTAATAAGTATCTACATTTCTAGATTTATTCACCTTAAACAGGAACCTTGCTAACTGAAGTTATGATTTCAAATAGTCAAATAAGCATGAAACACAACAATTAAGTACACAGAGACCCGTTTCACCTAAAAATTTATTTTTTTGCTATTATTAGTAAATCATTTTCTTTATAAAATCAAATGCATATATGTAAATCTAAATGGCGCCTTCCTTTTCCAGAATTTGAGGGAGTCCCAAAACATTTATAAAATTTGAATTTTCACCAATAGCATGTAAAATTTTTTTTTCTCATATTTTCCAACCTGATGGTTTTAATATTTGTTATTTCTATATCAAAAATCTACGACATCGGGTTGCAAAGATAGTGATTAAAGTTAGATTTTGTGGCATAAACTCATTTCATTTAAACTTGAAATGAAAAACCATTAGTCTTTGCTGTCATATTCATCAGTCATCTCTTACATTAATAGATTGAGAGACGTTTTGAAACGTTTGATTGGCAGAATTATTGTTATACTTTTTAAATAAAAACTCAGTTTTATGAACAAACGTTAGACTAAACAATTTAGTATTAAGAGAAAGGTTATGAAACGTTTTGATTTATAGAATTACATTTTTTTTAAATGTTATACGTTATTGAAATTTATACTATGTATATGAAAGCTTTCGTTATTTGATTATTTAATCAATAACCTATTTCTGAAACGTTGACCTTTTCATTATTCTATTAGGGAAAACGTTTCAAAACATTTTGATAAACAGTAATGCATTTTTCAGTAATACAACGTTACACTTTTTATAACTTGAACTTTGAAATAGATACCCTTTCGTTACGATATTCAATCAAATCACGATTAATTTGTAAAACGGCATGTACCTCTTTTGTTACCGTTCAACATTAACGTAAGGTATAATCTCCATTAACGTTAACATTCAACGTTCATGTTATGTAGAATCTATCCTATTATTTTAACGTAAAGTACAAAAACCGTTACGGTACACTATCGATGACATCTCTAATATGTGTATCCATGCTGTTTAACAGCTTGATTTAAATCAAAATTGAAATCGAAAATATGTCTTCATTGTATTGATATAATCGCCTACCACTGTATTTTTTTGGGGGGGGGGGAAGCTAGCTCCAAGGAAGAGTTTACATCTTCTTTCAAACCTTTGTGGAATTGTTTAGACAATTGTTAATGAGAGAGGGTAAACTCATCAGAAGGGATAAATTATATAACACCGTGAAGGTAAGTGCAACAAATTGAAATTTCAGCTTTTTCAATCTTTTTTCAATCATTTTTCAATCATTTTTTAATCATTTTCAATCATTTTTCAATAATATTTCAATCATTTTTTAATCATTTTTCAATCATTTTTCAATCATTTTTCAATCATTTTTCAATCGTTTTTCAATCATTTTTCAATCATTTTTCAATCGTTTTTCAATCGTTTTTCAATCATTTTTTAATCATTTTTCAATCGTTTTTCAATCATTTTTCAATCGTTTTTCAATCATTTTTCAATCATTTTTTAATCATTTTTCAATCGCTTTTCAATCATTTTTCAATCATTTTTCAATCGTTTTTCAATCATTTTTTTCAATCATTTTTTAATCATTTTTTAATTATTTTTCAATTATTTTTCAAAAAAATTTCAATCATTTTTCAATCATTTTTCAATCATTTTTCAATCATTTTTCAATCATTTTTCAATCATTTTTCAATCATTTTTCTATCATTTTGGAAAGATTAAGTCAATAATCAAAACAAGTTTATAATAATTTTCCTAGAGTTTAACCCAGTACTTCGGAGACATCTAAAGAATTTATAAAATGTCGCCTTGACAATTTTCATGCTATTATATACCTAAATAAATCTCAGTAATTGTAAATACAACTAGATAGCCATGAATATGCGGAAATAGTTTAAAGAGCTCCATAACAAATTAATTGAAAAATTAAATGTCTGCAGCATTCTGATATATTAGTAGGCTAGGAGTACGACACTTAATAAATTCTTTCAATGACTCCAAAGACTGTATTATTTTTAGGAACATTCGGTATCTTCTCTAACGGAGGCTGTTTTTGGTAGCAAAGAACCTATAAAAGGAAATCAAAATAACGGACACAGAACCTATAAACATTACTTCACAAACCATAGGTCATGTACAGTCAACATTACAACAAAGATTAAAATTTAGATAATGCTTTTGAAATTTATTTGACTTATGAAGTAAAAAGGCTACAGTTAAAACCAGAAAACTCTGGAATAGTATGACGACTTTGAGATTTAAGTTTTAACTTTAAAAAGATCAATGACCATGAAACACAGCAATTGTGAAACAGACCCATTTCACAAAAAAGTAATAATTATAAGTGTTCGGTAAAACTATTTGCTTTCTAACACACTCAAATACAGTTAGTATTGTAATAATGTCGTCTTCTTTTTCCTTCATTTTATCACTGTAAGAACCTACAACATATATTATTATAATGGGGATATCCGGGTTTTTCATATTTTTTTTTCTTCATATTTTTATTCAACTACAAAGCACGAGATAATACAGATAAAAAAATCACAATTTAATATGTAGTTTGGACCCGCCTAACCAGAGTAGGTTGTTTTAATTGGTTGGCCCACTATAAACGAATGAGAATTGCAGATAAAAACAATGTACATTGTACATTTTAAACATAAGAATGATAATAAATCAGGTAAAAGGTAAGGAGGAGGTGAGGGAGTATAAAGAAAAGGGAGGATACTCAGCGTAAGGGTTGGAACAGAGGGTAACATAAGTTATTAGAATCATGTTTATGAACTACAGGGTGAAGAAGATAGTAAAGACTAAGTTTATTCACATGATACACAGTTTTTTTTTACAGATATAATTTGCATAACTATCTAAATAGATCTTGGCGACTTTTCATTTAAACGATTTTGCAGATTTAGTTTCTTTAAGCTCTAATTCAATCGAATTCCATATTTTTGGAAATAAGGCAGAGGGAAAACATTCTAGGGTTTTAAAGAAAACTCGTTCAAGTTTATATGATTTTGTTCTATTTGGTTAGAAAGTAAAGACATACGATTCACCGTACATTGTGTTATTAGAGTTCATTGTGTACAAAATAATGAAAAATACATTCCTTCTCTTCCAGGTAAATCAACTATATACATTTTAAATTCTTTTGAATTAAATAATTTAAAAAATGATATTTTACATTATTTTGTAAAGTATAATGATGTTCGTTATTAACTATGACTTTAAAGAGCTTTATAGAAAATAAAATGAAAAAATAATCATTCACTAAAAAATGAAAGAATTTGATTTTAGGAGTTCCGGATTACAATGATTCTTTTCCTAAGAAGAACGAATTTGAGGGTAAAATATATTTAGTTTCAGTTTTGAAATGCCGGATAGGGGGGGGGGTCAAATTGACCCCCCCCCCAGCAGGAATAGGGTTAAACATTCTTTAAAAACTGAATATTTATATTTATCTTTTTAGCATATCATAGTCCATGAGTTTTTTTAAATGTACCAAAAACATATTGTTTGTTTATTTTCTTGTGATTATTTTACATTTTTAAATATTGACTTTGATGGTTATTATAAATCTTTAGAACTGAGGAGGGTCAACTCTGACCGAAATATATTTTCAAAAAAATGTGGAACTCCTGCTCCTTTTTTATTCCGAATTTTTACACCGAATTTTAAATTTCTTTTATTTAGAGTTGGAAATCACATCCAGTGTGAACTCGCAAGTTCCATTAAATGGAGATTTTTCAAATGGGAATTATCAGAGTGGATTAAAAACAGATCAGCTGCTTAGTTCGAAAGGAGATCAGCTGATGGAAGAAAATGCGCCAAAAGATCAGCTGATAATAGGCTCTCCTGGGGTTAGATATTTAGAGGATGAGGTACCCAAAATATGCATATACTTTGAATTTTAAATTATTTTTAAAAAAAACTTAATCATCTTTTCAATGTTTAGGAAGCAGAATGGCAAGTTCTTGATTATTCAACAAAAGTGAGTGTTGCCGGCCCACAAAAATTAATAAATTTTAAGTATATAAAAATTCAGATTTTCGGGGGTCTCTTAAAAAGTTCAAAAATGTTAGATGTTTATGATCAATAAATTGTTTCAATTTAATTTGTTATAAGGTAAATTTGTTTAATTTAAATTTGTATTTCTTCCAAATTGTTTTTTTTTTTTCATGAAGAGAAAAGTTTATTTTGATAGAGGCTTTTAAAACTCCTGAGTTTAAAGCAAGAAAGGTCAATTACTTGTATTTTCAAAATTCTACAAAACAGACATTGCTCTGCTACAGGTTAAAAATTGTGATATAGTCGATAAAAAATATCAAAGAAAAAATTGTCATATTTGCAGCCGATACTGAATACTCGCCATCCATTTAAAGAGGAAAATGCCTAATTTACAACGGTACTCTTTAAACCTTTGACTTAATATCAAGTACAGCGAGCTCCGTATTTATTTCTCTCGAATTGCGCTTGAATTTCTAAAAAACTGAGTATACACTGCGTACGTACAGTGGGAACTGGGAACTCATCACAATACTTTGTTAACTATTGATATTTCTTAAATAAATACAGTGGTAACCGGAAAACTGTGGAATAAAAGAAGACATGAAAGCAATTTTGAAGTGCAAATCATGATTTACAAAAGCAAATAGTTTACCAGTAAGTTACTAAACCATTAATTAAGTGAAATTGGTCTGTTTACACTGCACAAATGCTATGCTGCATGTTCATTAGACAATCTAAAGTCATAACTTGAGTCTAAGAGTCGACTTCCTATTTCAGAGTTTTCTGATTATCGCTGTGCGCAGCTTGCAAACACATTGTTCAACAATTAAAAACGTTTTAGGAAATAGTAAGTTAAAGTCTTGAATTAGTCTAAAGTCTAAGGGGTACTGTTGTAAATAAGATAAAAATGGAAGATTAGTTAGATTAAGCCTACAGTCGATCTCTTAAAGCCAGGTAAACAGCTCTTTATTCTCTCGGCATACATCATTTAAGCAAAACATTTTAATCAATTGTAGAAAATCTTTTTTAAATAAATCTTTTTTAGATTGAAATTCCCCCAAGCAGTCTGTTCGTGTTCTTGTGTGAATATGATTTGGGGAAAATTTGCAGAAGAAACTACAGCAATCAGGTATAAATATATATTTATTAACTAGGCTTTTAGGGCGCTTCGTGCCCATCTTCTATTTAAAATATGAACATGTTCTTTTTGTTTACATTTTAAAACAAAGAAGAAAAAAGTTTTGCGGATTTAAAAAAAGAAATTCGCGGATTTTCAAGAATTTAAATTTTTTTCACAAAATTAAAAACCTTTAAAACCTCCCAATATTCTGAACAACAAAATAGAAATGAATGCAAAAATTAAGAAAATGTTTTTTTAAAACTATTTTTTAACTTGAGAAAATTTATATTTTAGAATAAATCATCTCGACAATCTCTTTATCAACAGTTTGACTTGTGGAAGCAGAAAAAAAGAAAAAGGTGAATTTGTTAACCCTATTCCTGCTGGGGGGGGGGGGTCAATTTGACCCCCCCCTGTAGTTTTTTTTACATAACTCAAAAAGTATTGGTCTGAGGCTGTTGAAATTTTCTGACTTTTCCTACATACCCAACGCCCTCCCTTTAGGCCTAAAACCGGGCTTTAATACTAACTGCCTGAGTCCTCAGGCACACTGCCTGAATGACTGCTTTTTCCTGTAACAAACTAAATCTTTGTTTTGACCCACTTTCACTTGTCAGATTTTGATAAAATTTAGCTTTTTGGAAAGCCTATGACATAAGGAAACAGATTGCACAAGTTTCGCGAAAAAAATTGCATATTTTTTGCAAACAACCTGTCAAAGGAAATTTGCACATTTTTAGTTTTTCTTGATTAAAAATGAGGTTATTTAAAATTTTGCAAATTTTTTTGCATAGGGCTTTTCAAAAATGTATAATTTTTCTTTTTTTGGACAAATTTTTTTTTGCAAACATTTTTACTTTATAACTGGATTTTGCGATAAAAAATTTAATTTTTTCAAATTTGCAAATGTTTTTGCAGATTTTAAAAGTAAAGCACAAGAGCTTTCTAATGATGTATCATTTGTCATATTTGGACATCAAACATGGGATTTAGAGGGGGGGGGGGCAAATTGACCCCCCCCCAGCATATCCTGGTTTTCAAGTACCCCAGCAGGGATAGGGTTAACTAAATGATAAAGAAATGTAGCTTGCCAAAAAAATTGCCAAAAAGTTCAGACAGACGTTAGATCTGTATGGGTTAATTTAAGTATTCGATTTTTGTATTTTTGTTTAGATACAATATTGTGGTTACGACACGGGCAAAAAAAGATATTGCAGAAAACGAGAAAAATGCACAGAAAAAACTTATGCAGGTATTTTTAGCATCACATTTACTAATTTTAATAATTTTTAAATTCCGATTTTTAAAAAAATAAAAATTGGGGAATTTCTGTAAAAGCAGAATATTGTATTTTTATAAAACAAATAATTACTTTGGTGGGAAATATTGGATTTCTGAAACATGGTTTTAATGAACCCTTGAAACCTTCAAACTGATCAATAATGTGGAAGATGTGGGCGTTTTTCTAGGTTTGTAAGTGTTTAATTCTAGTAAACGAGGCAAGGAGAGTATGCCAATAATTGGGCATAGCTATCTTTGCATGGATTGGAAGCCATTGAAATTACGCATATACTGAGTACTCCCTTTCATATTGCTATTTTTTAGAAAACTACATTACGTCATGCTGAAACACATCGGAAATCCATGAAAGAAAGCCAAAAACGTTAAACAAGTATAACTATTGTATGCAAAGGAAATAAATGTCGAATAAATATAATAAAAGTCATTTGTTCATATCTAAAGAGTCACTCTCTATGTTAATAATCACAAACATTATAGTTTTTGTGAAATACTTGATCAGTGAAATACAATAAAATGTACAGATTTAAGTATTTCTCAAAAACTATTATGTTTTGTGAATTGGTTGTAGTCTTGTTAGATTCGTACATGACACACCTGTGAAATGATATAAAATTTGTCTTTCTATATATAAAGCTACATTAGTTAAGCACAAGTTCAGGAATTTTTGAAATTTAGAAAAATACGAAGTCTTAATCTCAATAAAAGTAGACTTTTTGATACAAATTGTTTATGTTCCAGTTTATGTACCATTAAAAACTGTACGATCATGTTGAGATTTTTCGAAAAAAAGGCTTTTGGTGGACGTAAAAGCCAAATATTTGTTTTTGGATTGCTGGACGTAAAGACAGTGTTGGGGAGCCTGGCAGACATAGCATGAGGCTTGGACACGATTTTGATTAGCTAGAAGTTGGCCAGGAGGCCATTCTGCGAATCAGGAGGCTCCGGAAATCAGTTTGCGGGGCTCATGGATGATCTGCATTCCCTACCTCATAGTTGTTTAAGTCGAAATACTTTCTGCAAGTTCGATATAATTTTTTTTTGCGTTTTAACAGTGTGACCAACCTATATTTATTGTAAATCTAATAATTTAGATAAATAAAGGTTTAGTTAACATTGTAAACTGTGGCCAAATTAATGTGGCGCTTAACTTCAAAACAGATTTATTTGTAAACAAATATTTAGTAAACAAAAATTGACAAATTAAATGTCAGGAAAAGGACAAGGGTTAAAAGTTAGTAATAAGAAACCTTAGTAACGGTAAAAAATCACTTTTGATTGACGACTTGGTAAAAAATTAAAGTTTCTATATTTTTTGTTTTGCTTGGAGGATCTTTAGAATTACTATTTTGATTTTTTCTAGCTTTAAACTTTTTGGGCGATTGGAGATTCGACTCAATTAATTGCCTTAAAGGGACTGTATGTGTAATTTAAGTGACAACTTTATACAAAGATGACAGTTACGACTCACAAAGGTACCTTAATTTTCAAACGTAATTTCTGTAAAAATGTAAATGTATTCATCAGTATTTTACACTTTTTAACCTTGAAAAACAACAATATTTTTAACATTTTTGATTAGATAAATGGTATTGTTGGGAATCGATACATTGCCATCTTTGTATGGAGGGTCACTTATTACGCTTAAAGTCTCTTCGAACCGTTTTCACACCATTTCCTATATGTATATTACAGGGTGTCCCAATAAACATGGGAATTCAGTGACAAATTCAATATCGTCTTTGTTATGAATTAGCATTGTAATACCTGATTTTTGAGACATAATATTATTATGTCTGCTATAGTTTATTTTATGAAAACGGTAAATGGCTGTAAAGATGTGCCTATAACGTCTTTGCAATATCAACAGTGAAGACGGACAAGTTTACTCTGCTTGTATACAGTAATTTTCTTGTTTTCGAACCGTTTTCACACAATTTCCTATTTGTATATTTTGTATATAATAGATAAATAATGATTGTATTTAAAAGCCTAGCTGTGTGCTTGATGCTAGTTAGCATATCACAGGGTATGTTTTTTTTAAATTATTGAAGAAATTTTATCAAACTTTTAAATTTTGATTTTCTAGGTTTAAAAAGGTTTTTAAAATTTAAAAAAAATGCTCTTAAAACTTTTTTGACAAAATTCTTCAAAAAGTTTGATTTCAGGAAAACAACAAGGAATGCTCAGCGTTTACACCATATTAACGTTTACATTGATAGATGTGAAATTAATTTTAAATTAACGCCCAATACAGGGTGTCTCAATACAGGGTGTCCCAATACAGGGTGTCCCAATACAGGGTGTCCCAATAAACATGGAAACTGAGTGACACATTTAAAACTGCCTTTGTTAAGACAATGTAATTTGTTTGTTTATATCGTATTATATTAAGTTAAATAAAAAAATTAGAATTTTTTAGCCTATGTCACCCACAAGCTACGCATGAGTGTCCACAAAAAAGTTCAGCCCATTCGCCAGCCAGAGGGAACATATATACGAATGTCTTGTTTTATTATATAGATAACAGTAATATAGCAATAAAACATAATATAAACAAACAAATTTCAACCTGTAGCATTCTACGGATTGCAATTTTCACCACAATAAAAAGAAATCATTTACAAAGACGACATCAAAATCATCAGTTAATTCCCATGCTTATTTTTCGTCTTACTTGTGTACCAAACTTTTACCAGCAATTTACACTACATATTTGTATGCAAATTGCAAAGGTGCGAAAACGTTGCGCAAATGTATTTATCTCTGCTAAAATTCTAATGTAAAAAATGTTTCGTTCAAATATTTTTGCACAATTTGTGCTAATTTTTCGAGCTTTCTATTATACAAATTCATGTATGCACAAAAATTTTTAATTCTAAGCAATTCCGTGCAATCGTTTGCGAAAGTACACAAAAATTAAAAAAAACATGTTTTAAACTACAATTGATTAAATCTTAAAACCTTTTGTAAATGTTGAACCATTGCTCCTGAAGAGAAGCTCGTTGATATATCACAAGGTAAGAATGTAATTTTAATTTGTCAAAAAGATGTTTTCGTTTTTCACATTTTTCCAATTATAAGTATGGAAATAGGCACGTTCGGTTTTTAACATTTTGTTTATCTTTCATAAATAGCCAATTTTGTTAGCTTTTTTTTCAATCTTTCAAAAAATAATTAATTGATTTCGTTCGTTCTCAAAATTATCGTTCATTATTAATATATTTCGTTTGTTTCATAACCAAACGATCGTTTGGTAAAATCGTTCATACAGAACAATCGGTTGTAAAATAAAATATTTCGTTCAAAAGTTTTTTCTAAAAAATCGTTACTAGTAAAAAATTATTGTTTTTTAAAAAGTGTGTTAGTAAAAAATCGTTCATTCAGTGAAAAAAAAACATAAAATCTTTCATGAAAGATCAAAATCGTTCGAACGCTTTTAAATCGTTCGTTTTTTTCTTTCTCAAAATGTTCGTTCGTTCAAAAAACGATGCCGATCTCTAAGCATTTTATTTTGCAAATTGAACTGAAAGGTATATAATTTTTCAAAAAATGAGTTGAGGTGGAATGTTTCTTGCTGAATACACATATTCCTGATCACTTGATCTCAATATCCATAGTTGTCAAATTTTAATTTTACGCACAATTCTCAGCTTCTGTTTGTCTGCTCGTTTTTACACTTTTCACGATATATTAAATAGAGAATAAATTGATCTGTATATTACATGCTTGATCTCGATTTCCGTGATTTATGAGTTCCTAACTCTGGTTCTGGTTCTACTGAGCCCGCGATTTAAAAACATTTTGGGAAAATAAGACTCATGTCTAAGCTGTCATTGAGACAAAATTTAAGACTCGAGCTTTCGAATTAAGTTTAAACTAATTTTAAGTTCGGTTCGGTTTATTAAACTGTATTTGGCGGATTTTCATGGTTAGAATTGCCGGATTCGATGGATTTGTCACATAAACTCTAAACTATATTTACTTTCATTTCAAAGCTTTAATTTGTTTTTTTCTTTCCTTAAAAATAGCGTGGGGTATTTTATATGTTTACTGTTTAATTACTAAATTTCTTTTTTTGAAAACCTAGACCTCTAACTTTTTGATATATTCATAGATTTGTTTTTACTTACTTAAAAGTAACAAAGTTGTTGAGGGTTTAACAATTACTACAGTTCACATCATAACAACAAGAACAAAATAACAAAAAATACAAAAATGTTTTAATCATTTTTCAAAAATTAAATGTACAGAATAATCTCGGTTATCTCTGATTTTAGTTGTCTCTTTGATTTTTAAAGCATTAAGCGGTAAGCCATAATTTGTCTTCTTGTTCAGAGGGAATGTAAACCTGGATGTCCCATGGGAGGGGGGGACGGCATCCAGGCATAAAACAAGTTCTTCCCTACCCCCAAAACAAAACAAAAATATGATTTATTTTAAAATGAGATGTAATATGTAATGTTGACTGCACACTTGTACATAGTTTCTTTTCCAAGAAAGGCTTGATAAACCTGATGGATTTTTAAAAAATGTTTGATTTTTATTAAAATCAGCTTTAATTTATGGGAAAACTGACTTCAACATTAAGTTCGTAATATTTTTAAATATTTCTTATGTCTTTCCAAAAATAGTGAAATACGACATTTCAGAAAAAAATTAAATCCCTTTAAAGACGACATTTCATTAGAAAACTACCTTTTATTTTTGACTGCATTTCCCCTGACCTGGGGGTCTAATCTTGGTTAAACATTTCCAGAGGACTTCCCCGAATATGTCATTCAAAATTTCTGAAATATATTTTAAATTACAATGTTTTTTTTGGCTATTTACAAAATCAGTTTCAACGCTTTTATTTAATCAAGGGAACTTTAAATGAAAAAGTGTAAAAATAGAAAATACAGAACACATAAAATTGCACTAAAAGATAAAAAAAATTATCTCTATAAAGCTGACATCTGTCGATCACATGACACAATCTGTCGTAAGCTAATTCATAAGTTGGGTCTGAGCCTGAAAACTGAGTCTAAAGAATTAGGACTCGAGCCGATGCTTTAAAAAAAATATGTCTCATATCTTTAGTGAACCATCATATCCATAGAATTTATTGAACGAAATTTTTTATTTTTTATTATTAAGATTTTAAGAGTTGCTACTTTTTTGAGAATGGATATTTACTTCCTGTTGGTAAGGAACGGCCCTGTGAGGACTATATGTTTAGGTATTTAATATTTATCATTTAATTGTAATTTCAAGACTCATGGGGTTCAGAATATATGTATTTTAAAGCCTAGTTTTCAAGGCCAGCTCTCTGAAAAAAGTTAGACCGCTAACTTCAATAGTTTGGTTGCTAGGGAGGGTTAAAAAATGTTTTAAACAAATATCAAGATGTTACTAGATCCACTTTTAAGGACTTTTCAAAAATGCAGTTTTTCTTAACCTGTTCATTTTTGTTTGCAACGGAGACACTATCAAATTGTAACACTTTTCGATTTCATATTTAAATCGTTGACGAAACGGATTACTCGTTTTCGAAAAAAATAACGGTTAAACGCGTTAACTGAAAAGCTACAAACGGTATAAGATTTGTTATTTTCTGAATAAAATATCATTAAATTTTATTTTGAAATTTAAAAAGTTTACACGTTTTGATGTTCTTAATTGTCGACTTCTGTGTTTATAAACCGTTATCGATTTTTTTTGGCCATTAACGCCATAATACTGTAATATACGATTAACTGCTGTGCTGTTAACAATTTTTTTTTACCGTTAACGCCATTATTTTTTTAATTAACGGCCAGAGCCGTTAACGATTGTTGGACATTTTCCGTTAATGCCGTTAATTAAATTGATATCCTTAACTAACAGTAATAAAAAATGGAAATGCCGTTAAGGGAACGAACGTTCCGTTCTTACCTTTAAAATTAACGGCTAACTGAAATTCTTATTCTTAACGATCGGAACTAACCGTTAACTAAACAGCTAGAAAAGTTGGAACGTGCCCAGCCCTAGATCTTCCACATTTTTGATCAGAGTAAGGTTTTAATGGTACCGTTGTAAATCCGGTATTGTCATCTTTGCATGGAGGGTCACTTTAAATTACGCTTCAGAATCAAATCAAAGTACGGTGGGACGCATAAGGAAGGCAACATTTAATAAACCGTGTAGTTAATGTTTTTTGATACAAATAGTTCTAATTGGTAATTAATTTTTATAAATGTCATTAGTGTTCGAATTGAACTTGAATTTCAGCAGTCATCTGACATCAATATGACATCTGTAAGTGCGCATGTGGGACCCATACAATTTTGGAATACAAAGACGACTTTTATATGTTAAATATGTACATAAAATACTGTAATTGTGAGTGTACACTGTACACAAGCTCATTTCACATTAAAAGTTGATTTTTTGTTACTTGTAAATTTTGTTTCTTTATAATACCATCAAGTGCACAAGACGCAAATTCTTAAAATTGCAAAAACTAACGTCTTAATAATGGATAAATGCATTATACATCACTTTTTACAGTGGTACCCACAAATAATGAGACTTCAAAGACGACTGTACGAATTTTTTTATCTTTCTGGTGCATTTATTGTTCTCTGAAACTATACAATTGTTTCTCTCTTTACCAATTTATTAAATTATCTTTTAAAAACTGCATTCAATGCAGAAGACCTGCAATTGTACTTGTATATATTTAAATACAAATAGTGTAATGTCGTCAATATATTTTCATTCTTTGTGAGTAACCCTGTATCTCTTCTAGCGCATTCAGTGTGAACGAGAAACTGGACGATGAAAGGTTTAGATCTTGCACGTGCTTATATGATGGTCAACAACGTGAGTAGAATTTTTAAGGACTTCTAAGATTAAAAGGCCTAAAGATCTGGTGTAATTGAGAAGCCATATTATTGTTCTCTTCAAATCAAATCAAATCAGATTGATTTCGCGGATTTTTTTCAATGCTTCAATGATATTGTTGCCTTTTTGGTCACATTGTGATGTTTTTACACAATTTTGTATATTTTGTGTAAAACATTGCTAATCCCGTTTTTTTACTCACCCTATATATATATTATATATATTTATAAAACTAAGTAAGAAAAATGATAAAATTCAAAATTTTGATACTTTTTTGTTTCAGTTACACTGCGCTACGGCCCATATATAGATTATGGTTAGTATATTTTTATCAATTTTGTTATTTGATCATCAGTTTGTTAAAAACTGTTTTTTTGGTATGCAACAGTTTTCATTGAATCTCGCTAATCAAAACATTTATTTACACAAGCCGTTTTTAAACCAGCTCTTTACACAGGAATGCCTTCTGAGAAATTAGAAAATTACAATACAAATTTTTCTGAGAGTTAATTTTATAATATTATTTCTTGAGAAAACGTATTAAAGTTCAATCGTGCTAATTCATGGTTGAGAGAATGGGATTACTAAACTTTAAGCTTTTAGCTTTATAATTTATCATAGTTAAATTTCCTTTGTTTGTAATCTAAATACATTTCAGCATTTAAATCATGTTTTCTTTAGATGCTGCATGAGATCATCATACGGAATGAAATAAAAAAATGAAAAAGAAAATATTTTTATCAAGCGTTTTTCAAATATACGTAATTTAAAAAATAAGCTTTTTAAATCTGCTAAACAGCAAAAATCATAAATCTCCAAAAAATCTAAATATTTATTCTACAAAAATAATATGTTATAGTAAAGTTTACTAACAATTAAACATAATTAATCATATTTTTCAAGAAAGCTTTTGACACACTTTTTATACTTTTTTCTTTTTGTTGTCTGAAACTTGAAATATGATTTATAGAAACCCTGAAAATCTAAAACTATTAATTTAGAAGCTAAAACACTGTGGACATAAACAGGTTTTAACATTTATTTGCAAACCTCTGTACTTTGTGTTCTGTGTTTTGGCAACATGTACTAAGGGAACTAAACAGAGATTTACCTTAGCAAGGCAAACAAGTATAGATTCAGACAGCATTTCTGCGCATATGGACTTAGACTAAACAGCTAGCATCCTAACAAGAAAAACAGCCTAATATCAATACTTTTAAGTTATGGGAAATAATGTTGATTGGACGTTATTACCGAGAAAACTCCAACAGATATGTCGGCAGAAATTAAGAAAAAACATCAAACCCAAAGACCCCACTCGTGCCCTTGAAATAATGTAAAACCTGCAACCCTTCTAACCCCCCTCTGTATTATGTACATCCTTCTACCACCTTCTACCACCTCTGTATTATGCAACCACCATCTACCCCCCTCTATATTATGTACATCATGCAACCACCTTCTACCTCCCTCTATATTGTGTACATCATGCAACCACCTTCTAACCCCCTCTGTATTATGTACATCATGCAACCACCTTCTACCCCCCTCTGTATTATGTACATCCTGCAACCCCCTTCTACCCCCCTCTGTATTATGTACATCCTGCAACCACCATCTACCCCCTCTGTATTATTTACATACTGAAACTCCCTTGCTACTCCCTCTGTATTATGTACATCCTGCAACCACCTTCTACCCCCTCTGTATTATGTACATCCTGCAACAACCTTCTAACCCCTCTCTTATTTTGTACATCCTGCAACCACCTTCATACCCCCCTCTGTATTATGCACATCCTGCAACCCCCTTCTACCCCCTCTGTATTATGTAAATCCTGCAACCACCATCCACCCCCTCTGTATTATGTACATCCTGCAACCACCATCCACCCCTTCTGTATTATCCCGTGGGTAATAGATTCCTTCCTCCTATAGTTTTATGGTTACTTGACTGGTTTTGTCAGGAAATAAGGAAATTACGCGGCATTTGATGATTTGCGTCTAATTTCTTAAACAAAAACGTTCATATTTAGAAAACACTTTTTATCACTTAAAGGGACAATATGCGCATTTGCAAGTGACACTGCATGGAAAAATGACAAGGCCCGATTCACAACGGCGCCCTTTAAGTAGAAAAAAATATCATTAGTATAAAAAATCTCCTCTGTCTATGAACTATCTTCTCTGTCTATACAATGAACTATCTATGGAATGTATTTTGTAAAAAAATGTTTTTTAACTATGAAATGTCTTATCTATGAAAAATCCTATTTATGATATTGTTATCTATGAAATGTCTTTCTTTGAAATGTCCCAACGCCTTCAATAGAATGTTTTTAATTTTCAAAACAGATAATTTTTAATTTTAGGTTGTCTATTACTGCAAGAAAATTTTCGGAATTTAACACTTTAAAAAAATATAACAAAATCTTTTCCAGATAAAAGTTTTAAGGATATCGTTGTCAATCAGGTATTGTCATCTTTGCACTAAGGGTAAATTGAAATTACTTATAGTCCCTTAGGAAATTAGAATGCATCAACAAAACCCGTCACCTTTTTCCCTCCCCTTTCAGCCCCCCGCCCCCCCGAAAAAAACCTCTCTTACAAGCATATTTTATGCTTGCTTGCTATTAAAGATTTATGTATTTGTTTTAAGATTAATAATATGATGAAAAAAGTATTTTAAATTCGTATTTGTCCTTATATAAGATTCCCTTTATATCCCCTTACTTATATAATTGGAGGTTATGAAGGTCTTTATTTAACAGGGTGTTCAGACATATATTATCCAGTTTATTTAGTCATAAAAATTTTTTTAAAAATCTGTTCTTTGAATGTTTCTATAGTTTGAAGCTTTGCTAACAAATTAGAAAATTAAAAGATAATTTATTTGTGACTAAATATTTTTGTACACTTTCTAAGTTACTCAGTCAAGTTTCTTCAGTCGATTGAAAGTTCCAACTATTAACGGGAATATCAAATCTATATCAACAATAATAATAATAATATCAAATCTATATCAACAATAATAATAATACTAAGCTCGATCCTATTTGCTAAATACTTTTATCATTAGAATCAAAACCCAAGATAAAACAAAGAACTAAGAAAAGAGCAAGAAGATGAGTAAATTGAACAGTAAACTCTTCAAAGCTAAAATGCAGGTACAAGTAGTTTTTGCATACAGTGAGACCCATATACCCGTGGAATAGGAAAATAACCATTCGACTCAAGTTATTACTATTTATAGTCCAATAAATAGAAAACATTGCACGCAGATACATTTTACTAAATAGTAAATATATATAGCTGCTGGGTTTTCAACCTACTGGTAATACTATTGGTTTCATAACGGCCTTCAAATTCGGTTTTAGGGGCCTTACTTTAATTAAGAAATCAAATTATCATATTGAAATATCTTTGATCATAATAATAATAATAATTAGCTGAAGTGCCCGGCGTTGCACGTGTAATCTTGAAAACACTTTTTTAAAATCGTTGTTTGAAAAATTTCAGCCAATTTGGGCTAGCCGTTCGGACAACTTTATGTGCCCGACGTTGCCCGTGGATTTATTTTTAAATCGATTTTTGCAATGTTTTCCCCTGGTTACTAAAGGTTCCCTCAAAAAAGTTTCGTCCATTCGGTAGAGCCGTTTGGCCAGCTATAGCGGACATATAAATATATATATATCCTAATAAATATATGAATGAGCGAACAGCTTTATCATATAGATAACTAGCTGAAGTGCCCAAGGAAATTTAAAAAATCGAATTTTAAAAAAATCGATTTTGAATGAAAAAATTCGATTTTCTTTTAAAAACAGGGTTGCCCTCCCTTTTCCAATCTTTTTACCAATAATTCATTATAAAAATTAGACTATTTCAATGGGAGAAAGCACGTTTTTCACAAACACATACTAAACATTATTTTTTCTCATGTCAACCTTTATTACATGCATAGTGCTAGAATGTACAATAGGTTATCTAGTCCATTTGGTCATTCTCGATGCAGTCTGAATTGTTTTTGTGTCTCATGATGTTAAACAACAATAAGTGAAACCAACACATACATATTTGTTTGTATAATGTATTTAAATAATGGATAATGTATAATGTATCTAATGTATCTAAAGCTACAGTAACACTTCAAAAATTTGTTAAAGATTTCCCAATATTTTCATTTATTCATTTTCAATATTAAATAAGGTCGTCTTTAAGGGATCATATTAACCATGGGACACCCTGTATCTCAAGATTTTTATGTTTATTTGTTTCTAACTCCCACAAAGAAGTTTATTGATGTCCAAAATCATAAACTCAAAATTAAATTATTATTTTAGAAATCGACATCCGCGGACAACAATATGGTCACTGTAGTAGAGGAGGTCATTCAAATAAAGGTTGGTATGTCAAATCTATAGATTAATTCAAATAACAGATAGGACTAGATGTTGTCTATTCAAGATATAGGGGGTTTTCGTACACAATAACCCTGGGGCAGACGCCCAAAGGAGTTACACGCAGGGTTATTGTGAACGGAAAAGAAAACATCTAGTGTCCTATCTGTTATTTCAATCAATTTATGGACAAATCAGCGTATTGTTATAAGCCATGATCAAAATATTTCATGTAACAATGAAATCAGATTTGTTTTTGTTTTTAATCATGACTCCTGTTATGAAGAGCTGTTGAGAAGAACAACGTAATTCCAGAGTTTTCTGGATATAACTGTTTTCTGGATATAACTGTTTTCTGGATATAACTGTTTTCTGGATATAACTGTTTTCTGGATATAACTGTTTTATAATTTTTTAGAAAGTTTCTTTGACTGATGATCAGCAGTTTACTCTTGCTCCAGGAATTCATTGTTTTTTTTTAAATTTTGCATTTTTATTTGACCAAAATACGCTTCTGAGAGGAACTTTTTCAAAGGTCAATTTTTTTCAAAAATCAGCTTCTGAAAGAAATTATTTCAAAGGACCTTGGATTAAAAAATCAGCTTCTGAAAGAAAATATTTCAAAGGACCATGGATTAAAAAATTCAGCTTCTGAAAGAAATTATTTCAAATCCCTGTATTTCAAAAATCAGCTTCTGAAAGGAATTATTTTAAAGGTCAATGTATTTCAAAAATCAGCTTCTGAAAGAAAATATTTCAAAAGACCATGGATTAAAAAATCAGCTTCTGAAAGAAAATATTTCAAAGGACCATGGATTAAAAAATTCAGCTTCTGAAAGAAATTGTTTCAAAGAACCATGTATTTCAAAAATCAGCTTCTGAAAGAAATTATTTCAAAGGACCATGGATTAAAAAATCAGCTTCTGAAAGAAAATATTTCAAAGGACCATGGATTAAAAAAATCAGCTTCTGAAAGAAATTGTTTCAAAGGACCATGGATTTCAAAATTCAGCTTCTGAAAGAAATTATTTCAAATCCCTGTATTTCAAAATTCAGCTTCTGAAAAAAATTATTTCAAAGGACCCTGGATTAAAAAATTCAGCTTCTATAAGAAATTGTTCAAAGGACCATGTATTTCAAAAATCAGCTTCTGAAAGAAATTATTTCTAAAGACCTTGGATTAAAAAATTCAGCTTTTAAAAGTGCTTATTTTAAGTTACCCTGCATTTAAGGAGATATACCTTAAAGGGACTGTAAAGTAAAAATGAAAGGGGGTATAGGCTGAAAGCTAATCACTTTAGGTTTTAGTCGCGACCCATGAAAGTTATATCTGATGTTCTTGTCTCGAGAAATTTATATAAAACTGTTTCAAATTTATACAAAAATTCATACATATATAATTTTATAAACAGATCATATTCAGCTATTATGCAACCAATCTGAAAACGAAGATATCCCAGATATAACTTAGGGTTTCTCCAATCATTATTTTATAATTTTTACTTTTTATTAGATATAATTGATAATATCAAGTCCGTATTACGTCACCAGAACTTCCACCAATTGAAGTATAAAGGTCACGTGTCTCTGTCTGTATCACGTGACTAGAAATTTTTCCGAAAAAACACTAATTGAATAGGTATGGATGCAAACTATCGAATCAAGAAGAAAAGATCAGTTCTGGATTTCTTAAAGGGAAAGTCTTAAAAGTTCAAAATATGGCGCAATGAGATTTTCAGAATTTTCTCTGGAAAGACTTAATCCGGAACAGTAGTACGACAAATATGAACAAAAATTTGTTAAAAACTACCTACCTGAAATAAACAGTCCTCGGTAAAAAAAATAATATTTTTTGGAACTTTCCAAGATTCTGTCTTTTATGATTTATGCATTGCGCCTAAAAACATTTTCTGAGTGTTTTGTATTTCTATCTCTGTATGTTTCCACGTGAAATCTTATTGTATGTTTTTCTTAATAAAATAAACTATTTATTCAATGATTTTTTCTATTTAAGGTACTGTACGCGTAATTTCAAGCAACCCTTATATTTGATATAATAACAAACATTGACATCCAAATCATACATAGCATTAAAAGGGTACAAGGGTGTACACAGAAATAAATCTAGGGGGGCAATTATACGCGAAGCGCAAACAAAATTGTTTTGTCCCCCCCCCCCTAGGAGCTCCCAAGGGGGGGTGGGGGGGGAAAAATTTGAACTGTAAATTCAAAACATTTGGCTTCTTGGATACATTAAAGGTACACATACAGTCCAATTACCTTACAAACAAACAAAACTAGCAGAAAAAAACAGCAAATTTTTTTTTTATGTTTTCACTCTTCAGTTTCAGATTTTAAAAGTGTAATAGCTCTGAGTTCTTAAAAGGTCTAGGGGGGGGGGGAATTTTCCCCTTTGCCCCTCCCCTGTGTACGCCCTTGAAAGTATACCGTTGTGATTCGGGCATTGCCATCTTCACATGGAGGGTCACTTTTAATTTCTTTTAAATTACATCTAATCAGGCCCAAATGAGTTCAGTAATTTTGACAAACAAACAAACAAACAAACACTAAAACCAAATGTTTATATAGATTCTCGAGCATATTATTATTCCCCTGCTAATAGCTAATGGAGCCATAAACTTTCATGACTAAAATAGATTGATTTTATAACTTTTCATTGGAACAATGGATAAGCTAGTTTCACGCTGTACTATAGTGTCAAAAACAATTATAAAAAAATTCTTTTTCAAAATTTATTTTACCATCATGATACGATCTTTTAGATACAAGTACATACCGTACATAATTCATACAGGACTGTACAGTACTGTACCCTGCTAATGTACAAACATAAAAGAACAAATTACTTGAAACTGATATTCTCCTTTCCTTCCAGAATACTTGGACCAGGCTTAGTCCTTGGCTCAAATCCCTAGAAAAATATATTGAGTGAGAACCAGGAAACTGAGGAATATGAAGACTACATTATAGCGATACTTTAGTTTATTGATGTTATCTTTAAGAAAATGGTTTAAGCTGTATAATATCTTATAGTTCCATAGTTCCAGATATAAAAAACGAGCTATTTTCATTTCAAAAATTCATTCCTTTAACCAAGAATTTTATTTTAACAGTCCTGATGTTATTTTGAAACTGTATAATATTTATTGTTGTAATTTTTATGGATCTAGTATTTGGGACTTGAGTTCCCAATGTGTTTCAAAATTGTATACAGCATGAAATACTGCTATTAGAATTCTTTTTAATTTACCTAGAGATACGCATAGGTACTTGATTGAAAGTATTTCACAATGTTTACATGTAAAAACTATGTAAGCTAGCAGATGTGTGTCTTTCTATGAGATTATTGAAGCAAGTTCTAAGCTTTGCATTAGATTTCTTTCTAATTTATGTAAAAATGACCTTAACACAGTTCTTGGCAGAAATTTTTTTTCTATTGCAAATGATTGTTCTGTAAATCCTTCGGATCTTAGTAAAATGTTAGTTAAGAAACAAATGAAATGTTTTGATGTCCCTTTGGACCATGCATGTAAAGTTCCGGTTTTACAAGAACTTTTAAATACAAGAATGAAGAATTTATATGTTGAAGGATTCGATGATTACGTAATAACTGAAATGATAAATATGTTATGTAATGAGTAATAATCAATGTCGTCTATTTGTGCATAATTTTGAATATTTTTTTTTTCTTTTGGAAACCTGTATATTCAAAAAATGTATTTAAACAAATTTAAAGGGAGTGTTCGCGAAAAATGAAAGGGGGTATAGGCTTAATGCGATAAAAAAGCGCTTTTGATCGCTACTAATCTTACTTCTATCTGTTGCGTCCATAAGGAGAAAATTGTTAGAAACGACTAATACCGAAGAACGTAGTGTCCATACAAATTCAGAAAGATGCAACATACGACTTAGACCGTAAAAAAATATATTTAATTTCAAACAAATCATTCAGATATTACAACCTATAGTCATCGATTATCTTTCGCCACATTTGTATATAGTGGATTTTTCATAATATGTTTTGATTTTATTTTTTTAAATAATATTCAGCTTACAACTTGCTTTAGAACATTCCTTGAAAATATGAAAATGTCGTCTTCATTACCAAAAATCCTCGAAACAGGAATAAATGTTTTTATAAGTTTAGTAACTCTCAGATCTAACAATTAAAACAACTATAATCAACTATATACAAATGTGGCAAAAGATAATCGATGACTATATGTTGTAATATCTGAATGATTTGTTTGAAATTAAATTGATTTTTTTACGGTCTAAGTCGTATGTTGCATTTTTCTGAATTTGTATGGACACTATGTTCTTGGGTATTAGTCGTTTTTAACAATTTTCTCCTTATAGACGCAACAGATAGAAGTAAGATTAGTAGCGATCAAAAGCGCTTTTTTATCGCATTAAGCCTATACCACCTTTCATTTTTCGCGAACACTCCCTTTAAACTACACAATTTATATATGTATTTATATCTTTGTGTGTGAATAAATCTTTGTAATATAATAATATCTAGTTCTCATTGTATACCAAAAAAAACATATAACCTATTATCAATACCATAATTTGTCCAAGTTTTGACTAATTGGTAAAAGTGGTGAGAGGAGGGTGGAGAGGAGGGGGGAGAGGAGGAGGGGGGGGGAGGTTGTCCGAGCATGAAACATTGTATAGAGATGACGTGGGAAAAAGTTTCTTTTTATGCTTACTGAATCCTGATTTGTTTTTCTCCAAAGTTCTGCAATTTATGCTTCATTGTTGACACTTTTGTGTACTAATTGCTTTCAATAAAATTGGCTCCATTAAGTGATTTATACAATTTAACTGCATTAAACAAATGTACATACAATATTTACATAATCATCCTATAAAGTCAACAGAAAACGAGAAACATTATTTCTAAACTCCATTATTTCTAAACATTATTTCTAAACTCAGTCACTTTAATTTACCTGGGTAGAACTAGGAATAAGTTTTGAAGTATTCTCAGCTCCGAACAATTCAGCAAATCGTTCTTGTCTAAATCACAGACTATTAAATGGTTTGTTCGCAAAATTTGAAATTAAAAAAGGTTGGGGTTTGAGATTTTGCTGAAACCAATAAAATGTGAAATCCTACCTCCGGAGTCCAATCCAGTGGTTTACATCCCATATGCTTGATAAGGGCTTTTTTGTGTTTGGGTCACAAACCTTAAAAATAAAATAAAACAAATTATAGAAACAAAATCTTTGCCAACGTTTCTAATTTCTTAATCTTGGCAACTTGACGGTGTAAACCTTTGATATTTTAAACATAAATTATTTGATATGTAACAGAATTCATAATTTTAAAAGGTCTACAAGATTGCAAGTAAAATCTAGTTTGTGGCCAAGACTCAATTCCTTTATATAACGTTTGGAGGTTAATATTCTGGAGTAAATGTGAACTCTAATCCAGTAGTTTGGAGGTTGATATTCTGGAGTAAATGTGAACTCTAATCCAGTAGTTTGGAGATTAATATTCTGGAGTAAATGTGAACTCTAATCCAGTAGTTTGGAGGTTAATATTCTGGAGTAAATGTGAACTCTAATCCAGTAGTTTGGAGGTTAATATTCTGGAATAAATGTGAACTCTAATCCAGTAGTTTGGAGGTTAATATTTTGAAGTAAATGTGAACTCTAATCCAGTAGTTTGGAGGTCAATATTCTGGAGTAAATGTGAACTCTAAACCAGAAGTTTGGAGGTCAATATTCTGGAGTGAATGTGAACTCTATCCAAGTAGTTTGGAGGTCAATATTCTGGAGTAAATGTGAACTCTATCCTAGTTGTTTGGAGGTCAATATTCTAGAGTAAATGTGAATTCTAATCCAAGTTTTTGACGGTCAATATTCTAATGTAAATGTGAACTCTAACCCAATAGTTTGGAGGTCAATATTCTAATTTAAAAGTGACCTCTAACCTGGTAGTTGGGAGGTCAATATTCTGGAGTAAATGTGAACTCTAACCCAGTAGTTTGGAGGTCAATATTCTAGTGTAAAAGCGACCTCTATCCTGGTGGTTTGGAGGTCAATATTCCAGAGTAAATTTGAACTCTAATACAGTAGTTTGGAGGTCAATATTCTAAAGTAAATGTGAATTCAACCCAGTAGATTGGAGGGCAATATTCTGGAGTAAATGTGAACTCTAACCCAGTTGTTTGGAGGTCAATATTCTGGAGTAAATGTGAATGCTAACTCAAGAGTTTGGAGGTCAATTTTCTTGAGTAAATGTGAACTCTACCTCAGTAGTTTGGAGGTCAATATTCTAAAGTAAATGTGAATTCTAACCCAGTTGTTTGGAGGTCAATATTCTAAAGTAAATGTGAACTCTAATCCAGTTGTTTGGAGGTCAATATTCTGGAGTAAATGTGACCTCTAACCCAGTAGTTTTGGGGTCAATATTCTAAAGTAAATGTAAACTCTAACCTAGTAGTTTGGAGGTCAATATTCTAAAGTAAATGTGAACTCTAACCCAGTTGTTTGGAGGTCAATATTCTAATGTAAAAGTGACCTCTCACCTGGTAGTTGGGAGGTCCGTGCTCTGGAGTAAAGGTGACCTCCATGTCCCCCTTTTTATCCGCCTCCATCCAGATTTTGTCCCACCATCGTTCATGTCCCTCCATATATCCAATCCATTCTTTAACCCTGCATCACATATGTCGTCTAGGGAATTTCTAATAAAAATGACCTAAAAGGAATTCAATCTTTGTCTCAAACTTAAATTTTCTAATCCCTATATCTTTGCAATTTGCTGGTGAAAAACCTTTAGTATTAAATTTTAAACTTAGATTATTTGATCAATCAGAATTGTTTGACAATGCCAAGGTCTAAGTATTTTGGTTGCAAAGGGAAATTATAATTTTACAAGTAAACAAGGAGTAGCTGTTAAATGAAAACTTCTTCTTGCTTCCATGTTTATGTTATCTTTGCTGTTTAAAAGCTTGTTACAAATCAAAATTGAAATTGAAAGTCGTCTTCATAGTATTGATATATACGACGACAGTTTATAGCTTTCACCTTGGATCTGGTACTTGGGGGCCATGATCATACCCAACTCTACAGTGGACATGTGTAAACCTTAAATAAAAAAGAAATACATTTTATCATTATGAAACACATATTAGATTTGAGGCCAAAAAGTGATTCATTCCCGATCATCCCTGAAGTGTAAAATTGCAGTTACCTGGTAGCTAGATCCTCTACAAGCTTGGTAAGATCAGGATTAGTTACCTGGTAGCAACATCCTCTACAACCTTGGTAAGATCAGGATCAGTTACCTGGTAGCTAGATCCTCTACAAGCTTGGTAAGATCAGGATCAGTTACCTGGTAGCTAGATCCTCTACAAGCTTGGTAAGATCAGGATCAGTTACCTGGTAGCTAGATCCTCTACAAGCTTGGCAAGATCAGGATTAGTTACCTGGTAGCAACATCCTTTACAGCCTTGGTAAGATCAGGATCAGTTACCTGGTAGCTAGATCCTCTACAGCTTGGTAAGATCAGGATCAGTTACCTGGCATCTAGATCCTCTACAACCTTGGTAAGATCAGGATCAGTTACCTGGTAGCTAGATCCTCTACAAGCTTGGTAAGATCAGGATTAGTTACCTGGTAGCAACATCCTCTACAAGCTTGGTAAGATCAGGATCAGTTACCTGGTAGCTAGATCCTCTACAACCTTGGTAAGATCAGGATCAGTTACCTGGTAGCTAGATCCTCTACAACCTTAGTAAGATCAGTATCATCAGTATTTGTCTCACACACATTAATCCAATGGGAGATATCACCAACCATCTAAATAGTTAAAGGGATTGTTTCTGTTTCTCAGAATTGACATAATAACCAAATTTTGGAATGAGATATTTTCATTTGGTCAAAAATATTACTAATATCCATAAAATTTTATTCTTTTGATAGAACAGCTTTCTACAAATCCTCTGGTGCAGAGTATAACATATTTAGCCTATTAGAAGAGACAAAGTTAGCTGCGCCTCAGTCTATGCTTACCTCTAAAGATGGACATTGGTTTTGTAAACAAGCAAAGGTTTCTTGAACGATGGTGTCATTCAGGAACAAATATACGAACTATAGGATCATTCAGAGAAATAAGAAAATATCGTTTTTAAAAAGGATTTTTTGGAATAAATTGTAAAAAAAACGATAATTTTTTCCTGAACGAACGATTATTTCTACAAAACTTTTGAAAAAACGATAGTTTTTACTGAACGTACAATTTTATTGAACGAACAATTTTACTGAAAGAACGTTTTTACTGAACGAACATTAACAAACGATCGTTCAGATTATTCAGTGAGAATATAAACAAAAAAGGTGGAAAATGAACGACAATTTTAAGAATGAACAAAATCATTTTTTTAATTTATTGAAAAAAAACAAACGAAACAGTTTGTTTACGAACAATGAGGGAAATGAAAAAAACAAAACGCGCCCATCTTTACTCACCTCTAGACCAGGGAATTTAGGAACAAAGCTTCTTGCAACCCACGGGGAGTACAGAAACCTCTTCCGATGAGTCTCATGCAGAACCCTGTTACAATTTTTTCAGATTAAAGGATCAGTTAGCGTGGTTTCAAGTGACCTTCCATGCAACCTTGGTAATGCCTGATTCGCAATGGTACCTTTAAAAGCTTTGTCCGATTAAGTATTGATTAGATATCAATGTTTATAGTTTTAAAAACTGGTTATTTTTAGTAGTGGTTTCTCTACAAAGTGACTTGTGCATTTCTACTGCAGGCTGGAAAACATGAATAACACTTTTAAACTTAGAAATAAAGACAATTTCTTCCATATTATTGATCAGATAAAGGTTTCAAGCAGTTTCAAGGGTACCATAATGTATTGTAAAAGTCCACATTGTTCGTGGGGTGGGGTGTGTGACACCAGTTCTCGTTAGCTAACTGAAATTAAGCACACTTGTCCACAGCCAGTAACTGGATTGGTGTCCAGACTGGTGTTCACGGGTTCGATTGCCGTACTTCACACAAACCTATGGTTTCTAAAACATCTGAAGCCGACATCTGGTTAAGCAGTTATGACCACCTGACGGATATAGGAGGACAGAGGGGCGGCTGTCAACAACATTCGCAGCGAAAGGGTGCGTGTTTTTTACTCAACAAGAAAGAAGCTTTAAGTGAATTAATCCAAGTGAATGGTGATGAAAAGAGGAAAGGTGGACAAGCAGGGAGAGTCTTTGGTTGCCAGCTTCAAGTACAACCCCTGGTAGATCAATATAAACCCAAACAACACCAACCTTTCGCAATAGAAAAATTCCGAGATTTGATCGTAACAACCCGATCATGTTCTGGGGACAAAAAAATCTCTTTAAAAAAAGATCCTTTAAGATTAACGGCTTGTATAGAAAGAAGCACTTTCTTTAAATGTGTCAACGTAAAATCTTTAAATGAGTCAATGAGTTTATGGAAAAAATGTAGAGTGGAAAAGTAAAAAAATGTCAAATTTAATTAATTTACAAAATCTAAAGAGTCCTGGAAAATGTTAAATACCTGTATCCCTTTTCTTCCTGCCAGTCCAGGGCCTTTGAAAAGAATTCAGCTGCCATTTCTTCAGTAAAATAATCCTGACAGAATAAGATTTAAATGTTTAATTTACAAAAGTAATCTAAAGAAATATCTTTTAAAGAAAAAGGACAGATTTTGGTAAGAAAATGATGTGGACAAGTTTTTGTTATTGTGCAAAATTTGTTCTTTCCTGACCCCGCAAGTCAAAATTTGTATGCTATTTTTTTGCAAATTCAGGATTTAAAGCAATTATGCAAATTGCGCGAAAAATTGGGTTTTGCAATTTTCGTTAAATTTTCCACAAATTGCAACTATTTTACAATCAAAAAACTCGCGCAATTTGCAAACACAAATTTTGAACAAATATCTTTTCAAATTCTTTAAAAAGTTGAAAAATTAAGATAAACAATTAATGTTAATTAAAATTAACACAAAATTCTGGTGAGGGCAACAATGCTTGCTCAAATTTATTGTCGCGATTGAGCTGGTTTATAACAAAATCATTTTAGACCAAATTCCTAGTACCCGGTTTAAACAGTACATTTTTCATACCTTTAAAGAATGAGAATTTACGAGAGTTGGTCCAAATTCCTGGGCTGCTTCAACCTAAAATATGTTTAAAATGGAATACATTCATGAAAAATCAAGATTTAAAGCATATCCTATAATTCCCTTAAATCGACACAAACATTCCTAGCTGAATCTTTAGGGTGGTTTACTGTGTAGTGCGCATATACTTCATAAAACTAAAGACATGAGTAATGCATTAGTCCACTAATGAAAATTATTTTTTGTTTTGTATGGATTTTAGACATAAAAAAGTGATGAAATAATTCTAAAAATTTGTTTAAGCATTGAACAAAAAATTGAAGTTTTTTTAGAATTGTGAACAATCCAAAAATTGTTGTGAACGTTCCAAAAATATTTTTAAATTTTTAAAATTCAATTTTATAATTTTGACAAACTATAAAAGTGACTTATTAAAATTTATGATTGATCTAAAAACAACAAATTCTTTCGATTTCTTGTCAACTTGCAGATTCATAATTTAAGAAAAATTATTAGTTAAACTTTCTTAAAATTGATTATGGTTTCAAACTAACAAATTTTTTAGTTGAAAAGTTTTTGATTATCCAGTTTCATTATTAACCATCATGATTAAACATATTTTATACAAAGTTGCATTTTGTATAAGTTTTTATATTCTTACCAATTTCCCCTCATAAGGAAATTAGTAAAGTAAAAGTACCCTACTGGGACTTAATTAACTTTTAAAAGGATTATATTTATATAGTTCCATAAAGCATAATAGTATGTAAATCATTTCAACTTTTATACAGAGTGTCACAGTAAGCATAACAAATCTTTGATGCTTATAACTGCAGATAATATTAAAATTATCAAGATATCCTGTATCTCTGCCATGAAAAAGATAAAAAGAATGTACACCAATTTATAGAAAGCTTATAAAGACAATCTTTAGAGCATCTTTTGGTAAGCATAACATGTCATATTTACAGAACCCTTATTTAAATAAATGGTTACTGAAAAATATGAAAAAAATCAATATAAAAATCAGGAAATTTGTTTAACCAACGAGCCCGTCTGTAGGTAAAAATGCATGACATTTTCAGACTGGCATTTATAAACATTTCCAAAAAAAAATTAATGAAATTTTTTTTTCTATGGGGGGGGGGGTTATCGTTACCCATTTGAATGTTCATTTTAGAAATCATTTTTCTTGAAAACAGAACAACTGATTATTAAAACGATCATTTGTTTTTCAAAAGAACAAAATAGGGGATATTCTTTTTTGTTAACTATTTTTAGTTAAAAAAAGAAGAAAAAAAACCCATTTTTTTCGTTTGTTTTAAAGCCCCAGTCAAAATAAAGTTGGTATCCTGCTCATTTAAAAATTATTTAAACTAACTCTCTAGTCTCTACTCTATTTCTGAGATTGATCTTGCATTCTGAGCTCTGATATATCAGACATACCTAAAACCATAGTACTAATGCAAGGAAAGTTATTTTAGAGGTGTATGCATTTTTTGTACTGCAGTGTACTGTCTTTGGGCGGAAAAGTAAACACAAGACGGATGTCGAAGCCTCACATGGAATCCATTTTCACAAAAATAATCAATGAAATATTCTGGTCTTAGGAAACTATCATGTGAATTTTTAAAATCATCAAAATCAAATGTTTTTATCCTCCTCGGATACTAGACGAACACTGATGCATCTATTCTTGTTTACAAATTCCGCCCAGAGAGAACTGGTTTCAAAATGTACGCAGAGTATACGGGACCGCAATTAACTTTCCTTGCATTATAACCTTGCCTAAAACTAAATCAATTTTAAGAGAGAGTAGCCTGAAGTTCTTTGTATTCGACCTACCTCTCCCTCCCTCTGGAATAGAGTAAATGTATTTAGAAGACATGAAATAACAATAAAAAACAATTAAATAAATAACATTTAATTTGAAGTAAATATGTCTGAAAACTAATTGATTTTACAATACATGTACATTGCAACGTTGAAGAGCTCACCATCTGCCATTCCATTTTTCATCAATAATTCTTTCCAGAATGACCTTCTTATAGAATCCTTCAGTTCAGGCATTGAATAAACTTTCTCAGGATCCAATGATCTAGCATCCCTAGGATCATTATGATACCAAGAGATCAAAGCTAAATCAAGTGCTCGACCATTTCGTGGTATCTCTGGTGTTGTGTTTCATCCAGTCTTTCAAATCCTTGTAAATGTATTTGAGATGTTTAACAAATAACAATTCCATTACTATACTCATCAACCAGACATGGACATATGCTTGCCTTGTCTACTTGTCTTGCTTTGATATCCTTGTACATAGGTGAAGCTTTCGTCCACATTTCAATCATATGAAGCTGATGGGATAATTTCTCTAAGGTAGACATGCCGACTGCTTGGAAAGTTTCTGGTTCATCATTGTTAGAGAGAACAAAGTCAAATGCAGCCAAACCAGGAAACTTGAATGGAGAATTACCAGAAGGAGCAGAGGCAAGAACAGGCTTTTCACCTTCTCCACAACGAACATTAGCTGTAGGTATTGTGTTCTCAATGGTAAAGTCTGGATCAAAGAAAAATTGAACATCTTCTAAAGTAATGCTGTGAATAGAGTGCCCTACTGAGTTTACATCCATGATCGTTCACGATCGTTAACAAAGTGAGGAGGAGAGAGGAAACCAACCTGAAGGGTTGACTGGGCTCAGTTTTCCTCGTTGGTTTTCCTGGATCAGAAACAGTTATAGTTTCCTATGTTTGTTAGGCCCCAACGAGTTCTGAGCATCCCTTTCCCCCATGGGAAGACAAAAAATCTCTTCCAACCTTGGCTGAAAGTGTGAATAGTTTGTTTATCCCTTTTCTTTGAATGTCTTGAAAATATGCCAATATCTTTTTTCTTTAAACAATTTGACGTTTTAAGAATCAAATAAACATTAACAGGCAAATTGTTTACAAAACTAGGCTTTTCGGGCGATTTTAATTGTGGCTTTATCTGTGAGCATCTTCTCTTAGTACAGTCTGTAGCAAAAAAAAATACAAAAATTGCGGATTTAATAATATTTTTCCGCGCATTTTCAAAATTTTACAAAAATAAAAAACATAAATTTTTGAAATTTTGATAATTTATAATAAACCTTCCCTGGAGTCACGGGAGGTCCAACAAAAAATTTGGACCCGATCGGTTCAGCCGTTTTGAAGTTTTTTGGATACAAACAAACAAACAAACACCCACACACCCAGACAGACAGATATATAGATTTTAAAAGATCTCCAAAACAAAATGTTGTTATTTTTAATCTTTTGCTAATCAATTTACTTTTACAATAGTTCTTTTCGGGAAAATTATATGCATATTTTAATTAAATATATTTTTTTTGTGTATTTTATTAAATATATACCTAAATAATTTTTCAAAATGTCATGTGTGAATTTTTATCTGTTAAGGGTGCTATCGCACTTTGCCTAGTAGAGATGTCAACGTTTTGATTTTTCTAGATTTTAGCTTTCGTTAAGATAGTGTTCATCAAAAGTATTAACGTTTGAAACGTTACGTTGAACATTATGAAATTTTATGGCATAGAGTAACGTTACGAAGTGAATTTTCTACACTTGAATACCTTATACAACGTTAAGCTTTAGTAAATGTTAGTGAAAAAACAGTAAGCTCCGTTACGCTTTTGCATTTCCNCGTTGGGGGTATGTTCCTCTAACGTTAACGTTTAACGTTAACGTTAGGTATGAGCTCCTATAACATTAACGTTTAACGTTCACGTTATATAGAATATATCCAAACGTTACACATTATTGTAACGTAACGTACAAAAACGTACATTTTACGTTACGTTACACTATCGTTGACATCTCTATTGCCTAGGCCTTGCCTAAAACAATTAAACTTTCTATTTCAATGTAATGTGTTTAAAAAATGTCGAAAAGGGTAAAGTTTTTTTGTTTCATAATATCATAGTCATGAATTTTTCCCATATCATCCGGAATTCCACTTTGTTGGACAATTTTCCGAATCATTCCATTTCTAAATGTATTTTTTTCACGGAAAAATGGAAACCTAGTTCTAGTTCGATAGGAGAACAACAGGTTTTTCATAAGCACACTTAAAGTTTTTAAATCTGCACTTGACATTAAGGCCACGGAAGGAAGGTTTCATAAAATGGGTTTCGGTATCAGGCTGTGTAAATAAAGTGTTATAGGTTATTTCCCGAAAGCATTTTCCCAAGGACGACTTCCCAAATGTGCAAATTTTCAAGCTGCAACTTCCCAAAGGTTATGTTAGATCAAGATATAAAAAGAAGGGAAAGAAAAAAAAATTAAATAAAGTTTAAACATTTCATGTTGTAGGGGACTGTCAAAATAACAAAATTAATTCACAAATTACCAAATTTTCCGTTTTACGGAATCTAACCAAGAATTTTATTTTACATTTTTTTAGAAACTTTTTATTTTTTATTAGGAAATTGAAAGCAACTCATCCCTAACCACAAGCGAGAAAAATTGTAGAAAACGCGTTGGGTTAACTCCATACTGGGCATACAGCCAGACCAGACTCGTATACTTGTACTGGTTTGGATCATGCAACCATAATAACGGGTGCTTTATCCTATTGCTTGGGAAAAACAAAGCGGTACATGATTTATATAATTTTTTTAACCTGCTCCTTGAAGACTGTAAGATGAGTATTAACAAGAAGTTCTTTGTTAGATTCTCCTGGAGCTGATGGCTCTGTAAACCCAGGGTAGGGTCCACCAAATGCACCTCCTGTAAGATAAACAATATAAGATGAGTATTAACAAGAAGTTCTTTGTGTTAGATTCTCCTGGAGCTGATGGTTCTGTAAACCCAGGGTAGGGTTCACCAAATGCACCTCCTGTAAGATAAACAATATAAGATGAGTATTAACAAGAAGTTCTTTGTTAGATTCTCCTGGAGCTGATGGTTCTGTAAACCCAGGGTATGGTCCACCAAATGCACCTCCTGTAAGATAAACAATATAAGATGAGTATTAACAAGAAGTTCTTTGTTAGATTCTCCTGAAGCTGATGGTTCTGTAAACCCAGGGTAGGGTCCACCAAATGCACCTCCTGTAAGATAAACAATATAAGATAAGTATTAACAAGAAGTTCTTTGTTAGATTCTCCTGCAGCTGATGGTTCTGTAAACCCAGGGTAGGGTCCACCAAATGCACCTCCTGTAAGGTAAACAATATAAGATGAGTATTTACAAGAAGTTCTTTGTTAGATTCTCCTGCAGCTGATGGTTCTGTAAACCCAGGGTAGGGTCCACCAAATGCACCTCCTGTAAGATAAACAATATAAGATGAGTATTAACAAGAAGTTCTTTGTTAGATTCTCCTGCAGCTGATGGCTCTGTAAACCCAGGGTAGGGTCCACCAAATGCTCGTTTAGTCCGCTAAATTTTAGCACTCTGTGGTAATGAATCGGTGTACCAATTAGCCTTATGCAAGGCCCTCAACTTGTAATGGTCCCTATTTCATTACCCAATAATCAGGGTTTGATGGAGCAGTGATTAGTTTGTTTGATCCATAATCCAAGGATTCATGGTTCAAGCCCCGTCAACTGCTAAAATCAAAATCTGAGAAAAATTCAACCATACTATATAATGAGTTCTAATAGGACGAAACACTGTGTCTATGGATAATATATATATATATTTGTGAACCATATCCCATAAACTACCCTGTTGTAAAAGTCGTCTTTGACAAACTACATATATATATATATATACTTTATGCATATCAAGTTTTACCTGTTCCTGGACATACAGCTCCATCTGTAAATATCATGAAGATCACCTTCAAGTTTACTTGTTCCTGGACATACAGCTCCATCTGTAAATATCCTGAAGATCACCTTCAAGTTTACCTGTTCCTGGACACACAGCTCCATCTGTAAATATCATGAAGATCACCTTCAAGTTTACCTGTTCCTGGACATACAGCTTAAGCTGTAAATATCATGAAGATCACCTTCAAGTTTACCTGTTCCTGGACATACAGCTCCATCTGTAAATATCATGAAGATCACCTTCAAGTTTACCTGTTCCTGGACATACAGCTTAAGCTGTAAATATCATGAAGATCACCTTCAAGTTTACCTGTTCCTGGACATACAGCTCCATCTGTAAATATCATGAAGATCACCTTCAAGTTATTCTTCTCCAACGCTTCTTTAAACCTAAAGACAAACATAGCTAGGTTCTGACTGCTTAAGTTATAAGAGATACGGGTATCATGGAAAATCGGGCATTTCCATGTTTGCATTGAGGGTCACTTGATATTACACTTACTGTCCCTTTAACACTTATTGGAAAATATGTGATTGTAATAAATATCGGGTCACATGATATTTTGTAAACTTGCAGTACATTGTACATTATTAATATATCTATGTTTGTAAACTTCTCTGTAAAAACCATGTTGATCGTGTCGTGTTTGAGACATTGATTGATTGTAGCCGAGTGGATCATGTTCTGTCTGTTTGATATTCATAGCAAACGGATTGTACCTGGACTGATAAATATGGAGGCATTAACTTCATGATTACTTTTTAGAATATAATGAAAATGAAAAAGCAAGAATTAAAAATGGCAAAACAGTTTCATTACAGCGCTATATTTGCATAATTTAGAAGCCCGTGAAAAATTAGATATATAAACGTCCTGAATTTGCATTGCACCTTAGATATACTAAAAATATCAGTATCTCANCCACCCTCCTATAACTGCAACCTATATCTAATTATAATAAAATTATGTATCACATGTATTCTTTTTTAACTCAATTTGCGGTCATTGTTTAACAGATTTTAGTTGATAATATATTTAGCCAAGCTTTTAATCTAGCAGTGTAAAGTTTTCCTATTTCAAAACAGAATCATAAAGTTTGCTGTCACAACGTATTTATTTTACCTTTTAACTTCCGTTTAATTAAATATGTATTGTTAAAGCAAAATTACTAAGTTTATTTAGTCATTTTTTTACCTCGCAGTTCCAATCTGCAGAGCAAACTTGAATGGGACTTCGACACCGTCATAGCCTAGTCGAGCTATTTCAGCCAGTCCTGTATAGGGTTCAAATTAGATCAATGGGACCTCGACACCGTCATAGCCTAGTCGAGCTATTTCAGCCAGTCCTGTATAGGGTTAAATTAGATCAATGGGACCTCGACACCGTCATAGCCTAGTCGAGCTATTTCAGCCAGTCCTGTATAGGGTTAAGATTAGATCAATGGGACCTCGACACCGTCATAGCCTAGTCGAGCTATTTCAGCTAGTCCTGTATAGGGTTAAATTAGATCAATTGGACCTCGACACCGTCATAGCCTAGTTAAGCTATTTCATCCAGTCCTGTATAGGGTTAAAATTAGATCAATGGGACCTCGACACCATCATAGCCTAGTCGAGCTATTTCAGCGAGTCCTGTATAGGATTAAAATTAGATCAATGGGACCTCGACACCATCATAGCCTAGTCGAGCTATTTCAGCTAGTCCTGTATAGGATTAAAATTAGATCAATGGGACCTCGACACCATCATAGCCTAGTCGAGTTATTTCAGCTAGTCCTGTATAGGATTAAAATTAGATCATTGGGACCTCGACACCATCATAGCCTAGTCGAGCTATTTCAGCCAGTCCTGTAAAGGGTTAAAATTAGATCAATGGCACCTAGTATATTTTTCATTGAAAATTTATACTTTATTTTCAATTCCTACCTTGATTGGATTCATATAGTGAGAAGATATTGTCAATTTTCTAGGTTTAAAAATGTTAATTATATGTTTTCTTGCAATGTAAAACCATAATTGAAAATAATCAGTTTTCAAAATTTTAAACATGGATATCTAATGCACGCTTGATCAGACAAAGCTTTTATGGGAACCAATCGGTCATTGTCATCTTTGCATTTGTAATTAAGCCTGCACACAGTCCCTTTAAAAGCATGCTACCTTCGTCTGTATCCAAGAATGGACTTTCAGCACTTGCCCCGTCCGTCTCATGAAGTATACCCCAAAGAGTTCGGTAGACTCTTAACTTCATCCTAAATCTGGAATATTTAAGAATAAAAATATAAATTAATAATTTAAAAATATACCCGTCAGCTGCCTCAGAAAATATTGAAAATTCCTTTTTATTTAAATATATGACAAGTTACGTTTGAAACAATTAATTCAGTCAGATTGGAATCAAGTTTTAAAAAATGTCTTTTCCTTACACTCAAGTTTGCTAAACTTCATATCTATGCAACTTGATGGTGTTAACCGTTGATATTTTAAACTTAGTTTATTTGATGTTAGAGAATTCAAAATTTTGAAATATTTAAGGTCTACGACATTGGGTTGCACAGATATATATAATAAATCTAAGGATGCTCATCGTTTTGAGGCCCGTTTTTAAACATTTAAAGTTTTGAGGCCCGTTTTTAAACATTAAAGGTTTGTGGCCCGTTTTTAAACATTAAAGGTTTGAGGCCCGTTTTTAAACATCTAAAGGTTTAGGCCTGTTTTTAAAAATTAAAGGTTTGAGGCCCGTTTTTAAACATTTAAAGGTTTGAGGCCAGTTTTTAAACATTAAAGGTTTTGAGGCCTGTTTTTAAACATTAAAGGTTTGAGGCCCGTTTTAAACATTTAAAGGTTTGAGGCCCGTTTTAAACATTAAATGTTTGAGGCCTGTTTTTAAACATTAGAGGTTTTGAGGCCCGTTTTAAACATTTAAAGGTTTGAGGCCCGTTTTAAACATTAAAGGTTTGAGGCCCGTTTTTAAACATAAAAGGTTTGAGGCCCGTTTTTAAACATAAAAGGTTTAAGGCCCGTTTTTAAACATTAAATGTTTGAGGTCTGTTTTCAAACAATAAAGGTTTTAAGGCCCGTTTTTAAACAATAAAGGTTTAAAGGCCCGTGTACGTTTTTAAAAATTTTCAAAAATATTTCAAAATTTCATTCTATAAGTTTCTATTGTTTACATAAAGTAAAATTTTACTCTGATGAAAGATATTAACCCAAACGATTTTTCAAAACGGAAAACGGAAAACGCTATTATTACGTTGTAAAAAATCGTTTTGTTTCATACCTTTGATCAGAGTACACTTTCTTATATATCTATATATCAACAAATACTTAAAACTAAATTATACTCTGTATAGTGTATAGAACTAAAACTGGATCAATTTTTTAATTCTAACGATCTTAAAAACTATAGTGTTTAGAAGTAGCAGGATCGAACTGACAATTGATAGTATTATCATATTTGTTTGGGGTTGAGAGAGGGGGGAGGAGTATACAAGTTATAATATCACATGTGGATTAAGTATTTATTCTTTATACAGGGTGTCCCACGAAACATGACAGTTGGTGAATACTGAATAGTTTAAAATGTTTTCTTCAATAATTTGTTAAGCTGTTTGATATCAAAGGAAATAATAAGAATATTATAGTAAAACTTGATTTCAAAGTAAAGTATATTTGAGGAAAAGATGTTTTTAACGAACTCTCGAATGTTTCGTTGGACACCCTGTATATAAACTTGTTTTTTTGAAGTTTATATTGAATATTGTAGTTCAGAGGCTAAACATGTTGGTTGACATTGCGCTTAGCAACATCTCCGGAACTCGATATTTGTGGAGTACACTTTTGAACTAAATGATTTTAAAGGACTGTAAGCGTAATTTCAAGTGACCTTCCATGCACAGATGGCAATGCCCGATTGACAACGATTCCATTTAAAGCTTTGTCTGATCAAATATAAATTAGTTTCTGTTACTTCAAAATGTTTATTTAAATTTGCGGTTTTTCTGCGAAAATTATTTATGCATTCTTTGTTTATATAAGAAGCAATGGAAAAACTTACAAAAAGAATCACATATCAAGTCAGAAAAACGACGGTATCTTCCACATTTATGATCAGTTAAAGGTGTTAATGTTACTGTTGCATAGCGGATATTTGCATCTTTGCATGTAAGGTCCCTTAAAACTAAGCTTACGGTCCATAAAAGTAGAAGAAGTCCATTACAGGAGAAGGGGTCCATAAAAGGAGAAGGGGTCCATTATAGGAGAAGGGGTCAATAAAAGGAGAAGGGGTCCATGAAAGGTGAAGGGGGTCCATAAAAGGAGAAGGGGTCCATAAAAGGAGAATGGGGCCCATAAAAGGAGAAGGGGTCCATAAAAAGAGAAGAGGTCCATAAAAGGAGAAGGGTTACATAAAAGAAGAAGGGGTACATCAAAGGAGAAGGGGTCCATCAAAGGAGAAGGGGTCCATAAAAGGAGAAGGGGTCCATAAAAGGAGAAGGGGTCTATCAAAGGAGAAGGGGCCCATAAAAGGAGAAGGGGTCCATAAAAGGAGAAGGGGTCCATAAAAGGAGAAGGGGCCCATCAAAGGAGAAGGGGTACATAAAAGTAGAAGGGGTCCATCAAAGTAGAAGGGGTCCATAAAAGTAGAAGGGGTCCATCAAAGGAGAAGGGGTACATAAAAGTAGAAGGGGTCCATCAAAGGAGAAGGGGTCTATCAAAGGAGAAGGGTCCATAAAAGGAGAAGGGGTCCATAAAAGGAGAAGGGGTCCATAAAAGGAGAAGGGGTCCATCAAAGGAGAAGGGGGACCGAATATCTACCGATTTAGCGGGGGACAAATATATTTAAAGTTTAAAAGTTTTGCCAATTTATTCTAAAAAAATAAAAAAAATAAACGGGGTTTCACATCAGATAAACGTATAGTTTAAACTATTTATAATGGAATGTTTTCACCCAAAATGCATTGATTCGTATTATTTCTTCGGTTTATTCTTTTAATTTCACTCATTTGATACTTTACCTTCTTTTATATCTTACACATAGGGTTGTTAATTGTTTTTGAAAATGATCGTTTATTGTTTTGTTTTTCAATCGTTTTCAAAAACGATCGTTTCGTTTTCGGAAAAAAACGAACGTTTTCAAAAACGACCCACTCATTTTGAACTTTTAGAAAATGAATGACGATTGTTTTTTAAAACGATCGTCTTTATAAAAACGATTAGCGACCGTTTTTTATACGATTGTTTTTTTTTAAAACGATCGCTCTTGAAAAAATGATTGTTTTTGAAAAACAAAATTATTGACAATTTTTTTAACGATCGCTTACGAAACAACGAACTTTATAAAAACGGTATTTTTCATAAAAAAAATTACATGCAACTTTATTGAATGTCGTCTTATATGTAGTTAAACAGTTGTTGGGGAGCTAAAACTTCTTGACATTTTCTTAAAAACTACTCAATGATTAGTACACTTGCCCTTCAGGTCAGTTTCCTCTCTTCGTTAATGATAGTTAACGAAACGACGAGTTTTAAAAAAACGATCATTTTGAAAAACGATCGTTTTTAAAAACTTTGAGCTTTTAACACATAAACATATAAACAAAGAGAAATTGGCCAATTAGCTGCTTCTCTTTGTTTACACGTAAACCTGGAATTTGAAGAATGCTTGTCAGGGATCCTCATAGCAAACTATTAGTAAAGTTGTCTTTATTGCATTAATATAATTGCTGCCCATTGTAGATTCTCAAGAATGTCATCTTTTTTATTCAATAAATCTATTTTCAGCATTTGGTCTGACTGCAGTCCCTGAAAGCTGGGTGATTGAGATTTCCAAAAAAAAATAATTAATGACCTACTCTGCTGAGTTATGATTTATCTCTTTTTCTCTTTGGATACAACCTCCTAATAAATTTATGATCAATCTAATGAAGATTTTTAGAACAAGCTAATCATCTGCATTATCAAAAACAGAATAATCTAAATATCGTAAATGTTTTTTATCATGGGCATAACAACCCCTTTTTAATGAATATAAAAAAGATGTTTGAAATTTGTTTACATGCTTTGAAACATATGTACCTTCCTACAAACTGGGACGGGTAAAAAATACTAATAAATTCCAAAATAGTATACTACTAAAACATATGAAAGCAAATAACTAATATTCTAGAGATGCATCATGGCACCAATTAAAAAAGCAGAAATAACAAGTTGCAAAATGTCGTGCATGGTCTTAACTCTTCCATGAAACATGTAAAAATATCAATTTTATTAAAAAAAAAAAACATATTTAGACATTTTCTGGTCTAATCATCGTCAATAACTTGCAAGCAACCAGGATAGGGCTTAAACAGACAATATCATAAAACTAGCATTACAAAATCAACAACTATAGGGTTCTCATCCTCAACTCAAGCTGATCCATGTTTAGTTTGATGGAACTACAACAGATCTACCGTAATGAAAACGTTTACTGAGATTAGTATTATCTTCTATCCAGTTGATTCCATCAAATTCCTCCATTGATATTTGAGAAGCCTCAGAATTTCCTCCGCCGAATACCTTGAGTTTACCATTAAACACATGCATATCATGACCCCATCGCACCCTTTTCATATTATTAGCTTTTCTCCATTGTTTAGCTAGTATATTGTACACCTCTACACTAGACAAACCACTTAGATATATTCCACCGCTAACATAGACTTCATTATTGTAAACAGCACACCCAGAATTTGACATAGCTAACTCCATGCTTGGAAGGGTCTCGATTTGATTTCCATTTATGTCATACTTTTCCATTGCTGATATATAAGATGTATTGTAACCTCCAATCACCAAAACTTCAGTGGAGCTTATTGCTACACTACAATGTGAATATCTTCCGTAAGTCAGATTATTGGCCAGGGTAGTCCAAGTATCACCGTCAAACCGTTCGATAGTATTGAACTTATTTCCATTCCAAACCCCACCCATAATCATAATATAATCTCCAACAGTTGTCATACTTGCATGATATCTTCGTTGATTTACACATTTTGTCAGTAATTCCCAGTTACCCCCAACATTTGAGAAGCATTGAACAGTGCTAGGGTTATATATGTAAATAATTCCATTCAGCAATGCAACACCTCCTCGTGTGAAAGAACCTAATTCGGTTGGCACTGGCAGAGGGAACTCAAATGGGTAAGATTGTGCAGTGTTTATTCCCTGTCCAATAAGAAACACTGTCTCATTTTTATCTGGTTCATATCCAAGGCAAGCATCTGCTTTTAGGAACACAAGCATTGATTCTTCCTCTTGTATATCCTCCATGAACTTTATATTTGCCAATACACAGCTGTTGGATTCTTTGTCAAAATGGAAAGAATTGCAGAGTTCAATGCTATTATGGCATTTGAGAGAACAGACCATGCTGTTGTATTCTTTGCTCTCAGCAACTATACTTTTCCCAAGTTGACGTTGAGACCTTCCAATTCTGTTCATACTTTATACCCTCAGTCCTTAACATAATCAAGATTTATGAATAGGGTTTTTTAAAAAAAATCTAATAAATTCCTAATGTGCATTAAGAACCATATAAAACTTTCGGACCTAAAGGGTATTTCTTTGCCAGACTAAACTACAAATAAAATACTATCTAGATTTGTTGAACTATTTCTGTTGCTTTTATAGCGTAGATTAATTCACATTCTCCAAAGAATGTCAAAAAATTTCCAATTTTTCTTATTTGCTACATTGGCTTTTGGCTTACCCAGCCACCCTCTTTACTTATCTTATTTTTAAAGCTTTATCAGTGAAGCTTTTTGGCTCTTAAGAAAATTATTTTAAATATAAATACGCATATTGCAAAGGATGGGGTATACCGTACAAGTTACAACAAGAATAAAAAACAGCATGCAAATTTAAATATTGTAACAGTTATTGAAAATTTTATTTATTTTTTAATGTTCAATGGGACCAATACAAATGTGGAAAAGGAAAACAGCATTTTATAAATGTGTGTTATGAGCTGGTAAAGAGATTGTTTTCCAGTATTTGCTTGAAAATCAACTAATTAAGTGAGATGGATCTGTTATGAGCTGGTAAAGAGATTGTTTTCCAGTATTTGCTTGAAAATCAACTAATTAAGTGAGATGGATCTGTTATGAGCTGGTAAAGAGATTGTTTTCCAGTATTTCCTTGAAAATCAACTAATTAAGTGAGATGCATCTGTTATAAGCTGGTAAAGAGATTGTTTTCCAGTATTTCCTTGAAAATCAACTAATCAAGTGAGATGGATCTGTTATGAGCTGGCAAAGTTTTGCTTGAATAAGTGATATGATATGAATCTATTAAGCGTCTCTACACTGCAGAACATCATCATCTGTCATTGGACTTTTAAAATCATAAATTGAGTTTAACAGGCATCTTTCTTTTCCACACTTTTTCGGGCCCACTGTACTATTAGCTATTTATTTCACCAGTAGTCATACAATTTAGAAGTTTAAAATTTTCCATATAATTGTTTTAAAATACCTTTCTGCCGGGGTTAAAGCTATTGTAAGAGACAATAGTAGTGTTAGCTGTAAGACAGACATTGTGAAACTGCTACCAGTCAACTGTAACTTGTAACTTATAACTTATTACTCATAACCTACACTATTAAACTGACATCTTTATTAATAGTTCAAAGATAATGAACCATATTTCCAACATATAATCATTTTATTTTATTTTTCAAAACTATCCGGAAAACCTAAGGAGAACATTTTTTTTGGTTGCTTTATGTAAAATACATATTAAAAATATGTTTTGCGAGCTAATCTACTCGCTCAAACCAATCCTAGTGTATCTAACCTTGCCATGATCTGCTACAGGGGATCTCTCCTCGATAGTAACAGTGCTCTGGGTAATGAAGAAACGGGTTCAATCTGTAATAGATTGCCCAAGTTAATTTTATTTTAGAAACTTACGAAATATGATGAAAAATTGATTAAATGGAAGAATATACAAGTTCATTAATACGAGGATAAAAACATTTTAAAGCTCATCATACAAAAAGATGCGATAATCTTCAAGAACAGTTTAATTTAAATAATTTGAAAAGGGAACATGGGACACAGGGGGGGGGGCAGGGAGAAAAGGGGGGGTTGACAAGTGAGGACATGAGTCAGAAGGGGAATAAGGGGCAGAGGGGGGGGGCAAGGAGGGACAGGGGACAGAGGGAGACAAGAGACAGAGGTGAAATGGAATTACATGGGACACAGGGGGGACAAGGGGCAGGGAGGGAAAAATGAGGGACAGGGGACAAAGGGGGAGGACAAAGGGGGGACAAGGAATACAGGGGACATAGGGCGAACAAGGGACACAGGGGAATGGGGCAGGGACTGAGGTTGGGATGATTACTGCACAATGAGGAAAGGGAACAGAGGGGGGTCACACATGCATGAGAACGAAGGAAGAATGGGGACAAAGAAGGCAAAATCGTGTTCGAGGAAATGGTCTCAAAAAATTTTAAATCAAAACTTGAGATTCAAAACGGTTTTTTTATTTCTAGCGCTTCATGTGGCATATTTAAAGATTTATTTTTAAAACTGATGACCTATAAATAAAGCTTTAGCAATATTTTCACCGTATGAACATATACAGAGGTCAATATTTTCAATAGAGGTGATTACAAAGTGAGGAGCGCGCATGCCGCAAAACTTGTTTGAGTAGTTTTGATTACAAATTGAGGACTTCTGCACTCCCCCCCTCCTCAAGCAACCAAAATAACCTATGACGCCAAAGGAAACTGTACAGTGCTTACATAATAGTCTGATAAATCTTCATAGGCGGTTTTAAGGGGTGGGGGAGTTGGCAGTACATTACCCCCCTGAATGTAATTAGGGGGGTGTACCCCCCTCTGGTTTTTACAAAGTCATTTCTCGTTTAAACTGTATTATTTATTTATGTATGTAAATAAATAATAAAGTTTATTTGAAAATGACCAAATTGTAAAACTAAAATATATTTATATTAAGGGTGAAAGATTTTTCACAAATTTGAGAGGAATTATTTCAAGTAGTAAATACTGATGTACTTTTTAATTCTAAGAAACATTTACAAAAGGCATTTTTCGCTAAAATCAAAATTGACAATCGCAAATGGTAATTTGTGATAAAAAAGACTGGTAAGAGTGTTTTTTTTCTTCTTAAGATATGTTGTTTATACTAAATTAGAGCTGAAAACTGGGGAATTTTGTGATTTCCCTATTTTTTCCACTTTAATGCTCCTAGATCGTATTTTTTACAAACTGTTTGTAGCTGTGCAAGATTAGGCTTTGCAAGGCGGATTTCTTTATACCCATATCGACATTTTTTGAAAAAAATATTATATCACTTGTTTAACCGGTTTTTCGGTCACAAATAGCCATTTACGATGGTCAGTTCTGTAATATGCCGCCATTGTTTTTTATGTTAAATGTAATATCAATTTTCAGTAATAGTCTTTTCTTCTTTTATTATTAAAGTTTTATTAAAAGCTGCGCTGCTACAATTCTAGCTTTTAAAGTTCTTTAATTAATTTGCTACAAAACTGGGTTTTTTTAGGTGTGATATTTTTTACTAGAAATGAAGCTTTAATATATCTTATATAATCAGAAAGAATCCAAATTTTAGAGTGATGTAAATTTGAATGTTTTAGGCTAAAAAGTCCATATGTTGTAATTCTGAAACTTTTCCCAAAAACTGTCTTTGTAAAGACAATAGCAACGCAAAGCTTAAGCAATGCGGAGAGCTTAAAAACTTTGATTTTTCGCTAGTATTCCCAGGATATGTTTCTAGAGATTTGATTTGTAATACTGTTAACATTCCTTTTTACAACACTCCCAAAGATGGACAATTTCTGACTATAGACTCTATAAGTAAAAACTATATTAAATGACTTACTGTTATCTGTCAGAATATATTTCACAAAGGTAGACAATATACAAAGAGTGACAATATACAAAGTTTACAAAGCTTATATACTAAAAATCACAAGGGTTGCACTTGCGCACAAATATATAAAGGATAACATACTATAGATAATGAAATTCCTTGACATACATGGTTTCAATGGATAAATAAACGATTGTACATCAAATATTGGTCTGTTATTGGTCGATACAAATAGTTTCATGATTCTATTGGATGTTTTAGAAAAAAAACTGATAAAGGATGGGTCTGGCGCGCAGCCTAGTTTACTAAGTTGAACTTTAGATAGAAAGTAGGTTACAAAGATATAGACGTCTGGGTCTGGGAGTATGTTGAAATGCATGATACAACCCAAACTGTATTTTTCGTTGCTATGCCAAGACAGTAATTTAAACATCTAGAGATCAGGATGTAAAAGTTTGAAGGTGTTTAACAATTTTTTAGAGAAACATACATTTTAGTTTATCTATATGTGACAAAAAATGTCACAAAATCCCCCCCTTCTTTGAAACTATGGTACAAAAATTTAACAAACAAAGCCAAAGATTACATTCCTAGAAGTAAAAAAATTTCAAGATTTTACTTGCAAATCTAATTAGAGAAGAAAACATCCATTCCAAATATACTTCGCAAACAAAAAATTTTCCCTTATTGTTTTTTTTACCCCAACTCATCGAAAGCTATATCAAGGTTTGGTTGAGATGGTTGAGAAGAGCTGCGAGTAGACTTCTTGTGTTGTTGGTCTTATTATCTGTTGTTGTATTCTCCAGAAGTTTGTTTGATGGACTTTGTAGGAACTGTCTTCAAATCTTGCGTGTAGCGTAGAGACTTGACTGACTTATCGTTACTCTCCATTAAGCCCAATTATCTTTGGTTGGAGAACTTCTTGGATTCACTTCTCAGCTAGGTATCTTGTTATTCTTTCTCTTGTTATTATCATTTACTTGAATAATAGCTAATAAGTCAATTTTAAAACAGGGACAAACATATGGTTTTAATTATTTATTTTATAAGAAAAACCCGATAACTGCTTGCTAATGTTATTCAAACTCCAACGGATTTACAAACTTAAAACTTTTCTGACTCCCATTTATACAATGCCTTAACACAATCCCCAAGTAAATTCATTTTAAAAGTAAAATTAAAATTAGAAATTGAAAAGACAACCAAATATTGTTCCTCCCTTTTTAACGTTAACACCTCTCACTTCTTTAATGGCAACGATATACAATATTATTTTAAATTGTAGGTGAAAATTGAAAAAATATTTGTGGGCAAAGACCAACTTTTACATTGTTTGTTTGTGGGCAAAAGACCAATGTTTATAATGTAAAAATTATTTAAGGGCAACAGACCAATTTTTACAATGTTTGTTTGTAGGCAAAAGACCATTGTTTACAATGTTTTGAGAGGACTGTGGAGTGTATGGTAGGGTGTATACAAGATGTTTGTAGAGTGTGGAGAAAAGATGGTAGAACTGATATATGCCTAGATTATACAAGCAATTAGTGTCTCCCCCCCCTCTTTTTTATATTAATTCCAATGGTT